GCTTTTTTTTAAAGTTTTTATTAGCTTTATATAGCTTTTTTAAGTAAGCTAACTAGACTAAGAAGTATTTAAGTTCTAGGTTATTTTTAAAAAATAGTTAGTAGAGGCTAGAGATAAAATAGATTTCTTACTTAGATAAGAATATATTAGCTTATTAATATTCTTAGAAAAAGCTAAATACTTTAAAAATTTTAATAATAAACTATATAACTTATAAAAAGTCTAGAGTAATAGTAAAGTAGAAAAAGTTAGTATTATTAAAAGTAATAAAGTTATATACTTATATAATAGCGTCTCTAGTAAGAGTAGAAAGTTATACTAGACTAGAATCTTAAAAGTCTAAAGAAAGTAGATTATTATTTATAAAAAAAAGAGTAGTATAGAAAGTATATATTAGCTAGTACCTAGATCTACTTCTCTATATACTAGCTTATATACCTTACTACTACTAAGACTTATAGAATACATAGAATTAGTACTATTTATTTTTATTTTCTCTTTTTTATAAAGCTATAGAACCTAGAACTTTATAGCTTACTTTTAATAGCTAAAAGATATTAAAAGAATATATATACTACTATCTACTATAATTAAAAGTGTTTAGAAAATATATCTATATTATAATTATATACTATATTACTTAGCTACGTTATATATATATTTAAGTATAAGCACTTTATTAAAGTAATATATTAGCTAGTATATAGTACTATAGAAATATTAGCTTTATTTAGTAAAAATCTATTAGTAGAGAGTTAGGCTACTATAGTAATAGTACTTATAGAGATTAAGTAGTATAGCTATTAGTACTAGAATATTACTAAAAGTATTAGTAAAAGTAGTAGTATATTATAAAAGACCTATTTAGAGCGTAGATAGTAGCTTTTTATACTAGTAATAGTTTAGATAGTAGTAACTTTCTACTAGTACTAGTATATACTTACTAAATTTAAATAATTTAAGCTATTTATAATATAGAATTCTACTACTTTAAAAGATATAACTTTTTTAGTAGTAGTTTATAATATCTAGACTTACTAGTAAGATTAAAATCTAGAAAAAGTATAAAAATAGTATTATAGTAGTAGTAAAATATATTTATAAATTATAAAAAAACTTATAAATACTAATTTTATATACTATAGATAGCGTATTATATATTTAGAGAAAACTATTATAGTTTAGATAGTACTTAGTATTACTATTTTATATAAGCTTATACTTAATTTAATTTTATTATAAAAGTTAAAGTCTTAATAATATCTTTTTAGACTTAAAAAGAGTTATAAGTATAGCGTACTATATAAAATACTAAATACTAAAGTAAATAGTCTTTACTACTTTATTTAACCTTTATATAGTTATTATAATATATATAGTATTACGCTATTAAAATTTAGTATAAAAAGAGCTATAGTTTATTATAGAGCTACTAATTATAAAAAATATAGTAGTAATACTAAGTAATTAATAGCCTTATAAAGTTATAAAAGATAATAAATTAAAAGTATTACTAAAAGTAAGCTACTATTTTATAAAATATAAGTATAAGTATAATTATATTATAATGTTTACTAACTAACTAGTGTAGAAGAAGGAACTAAGTACTTATTAAGGAATCACGTGATAGCCCCGCTACGCCTCTTCCTTATCACGAAGGACGCCAACCAGCTGGACACCGTAATTTGCTTCCAAAGTGACCGCATCTTCATCACACGGCCATCCTTCGCAGACTTACCAGGGGAGGGACAGCTATTAGAGCGCGATGAAGCTCCTTGATCTGCCTAGGGAGCTCTTTGAGGCGATCTTACACTATGCCATCCTTGCTCGGGGAACGAAAAGAGGTCTGCGTCTGAGGCTCATAAACCGTATGGAGCACTATCATGTATCAAGCTACAAAGCTAATGACCACTAGATTACTTCGCGCAAGAGGTGATGCGCGCACTTCGTACATTCCGGCTACTCGATGGGATCATGTTCCGCCGTTGCTATTCATGGGAGGTGATATACTTCTATCAGTCCTATCTGGAGTATCGAGTTATGCATGAGCCTCCGAATGGTAATCGGTTCCTAAATGACGTCCGAAACATAGCCGTTCAAATAGCGGCTCTCAGTCACGGCCATAAGGTCGATAATAGTATCATCGCAAACGTGGTTCACACTCTTTTCCCAGTGGAGGCATGGGCAAGCAGATCGACTAAGGAGCGTTTGAGGGATGACTTCCGTCGCCTACTCAAGTGGGACTCCGTGGAAACCGAAAAGCAGCTTTTTGGTGCCGCGCTTTGCACCAATACGCTATCGTACATTCGGCAGTCCACAAAACTACGAGATGCCATGTTATCAAATCCTAAAAGCCCTGATAACAGCTGTGTATTTGGAGATTATGTTTGGCTCGCCGCAAAGTTTGGCAACGAGGAACTTCTAGAGTATCTCATGACAAGCGAGGCATCCGATCTCGGCCCAGGGTTAAGATTCCAACTTTTTGAGTCTGCAGCGAAAGGATCTCGAATAGATATTGTTCGATTCCTATACAACTTCCGAAGCGAGGACTGGCCGTGGCATTTCGAAAGCTCGACAACTTGGGGCAAGGGCCCCCTGTACTACATCCGCGCAAGCGTTCGGGACCCTCAAGTATGGGATTTCATTGAGGCTTTGCGCATCACTCGTGGCATGCATCCGACTGGCAGGAAACAATTATACGGCAGGATTCGTCATTGCGCAGCACTTGGCCTAATAGACATGGTTTCGCATCTAATCCGTGTCGCCGCACATACCAACGAAGATCGGAATCGGCACTCAGTCCACATGTCGTTCATATCGGACTACGAGGTCTCATGTAATTGGCGTAATGAGGCAGTCAAGCACGCCATCGATCGAGGCTACGTACCTATCGTCGAGCTTCTACTAGACGATGGGGCAGACCCGAATCAAGCTCTTACAAGCGCTGCTCGCTATGGCCAGAAAAAGGCCTTGGAAATGCTTTTAGATCGTGGGGTCAACATCAGTGATGCGGTTGTCGAAGTGGGAATGAATGAAAGCCGCAAAGTGGTACCCACTAAGCTCTTAGCGAATGTAGAAAGAGGACCCTATCTAGACGTAGTGCGGCTACTTGTCGACGCCGGCGTTGACGTCAACGAAAGCATTGGCAAGGACAGCCCTCTCGCCGGAGCAATCGCCACAGAACATACAGCATTGTTTGAGTTTCTTCTCGAACGAGGAGCGGATTTGCATTCTCCTGGAACAGCAGAGGAGTGCGTGCGGCGAGCGAAGAAGGATGGGCTGGAGTCTATGCTACTGTTGCTCGAAAAACACGGCGTTGATGTTAATGTTGATTTGGAAGAAGCGACTTGATGATTTGAGCATGTTGCATCGTTTGTCATTACGAAAGGCTTGGACGCAGCCATCAACTCAGGAAATATGTCAGATTGGTATTTGAAAAGAAGCCATCTCATGACTAGAATTTGAGGTTGTTTTGTTTGAGAGGAAGGCCAGGACATAGCAATGCGGCGAATTGTTTTTGATAGCTCTCAAATGACTCAGAGATTTTGTAGAGCTAGAGTCGAAGGAATAAGAGAACTCTTTAAATATTCTCACAGAGCACATCGCTCTGTTCAATTGATCTCTTAGGCGTCTCTTTCATGCTGCGCTCCAAGCAAGATTTGGACAGTACACGCCAAAGCTTTTCACTTTTTTATGTCAATATGCATTACCCCTTCTAAGTTCTAGAAGACGGTATCTAGGGTGTATGCAGCACTCGAGGTGGACTAATTGTTTTTTTCAATTCCAAGCAGAAGAACATATGTGGAAACCAAAGTGGGGTTTGAAGCAAGGGGCAGAGGGAGCCATTACTGATGTCGTTTACGGTTTTCGTGATACGACACAGTAGTGATCTGATGCGCGAAGCATAATGGGAAAGAGTAGTGATTTATACATCCTTCGCCTAGTGGACTGGTCTCGAACGCGCAGAACATGTCGGTAGCAAAAACGAATTTTTGAAGTGGAGAGGAGGGACAGTGCACATTTATACGTTGTGGGCCATTTTGGAAAACGCAGAACACACCGCAGCAGGACATTCCGTTGGCAACGGTTGCTTTGATTCAGTTTCTGGGAAGTGTAGAATATAGAAGAGTATTCCAGAGTCCAGTAGAGCATGTTTATATATCCTCAAGCTAAGGCATACTAGGCCCAAATGATGCGCATCAAGCCCGGCGGAAGCACACACCGACATCGAAAAGCTCATGGTCTGTTTTAGAGAAATCGTGTACTCGGTGGTAAAGACTGAAGAAGCAGAAGACCGAGCAGCACATTGCAGACGTAGGTAGTGTCTTGGGAAAGGAGCGAGCGAGGAGCAGAACACATGTAGTCGATTAGCTGTTCTTTTGTTTTGAGAACAGCCAGTTCTACTCGCACCATGCCTGCCCGACTCTAGCGTTTTGAAAGCCGCATGCGCAAAAGGTGGATGGAGAACGACAGAGGCATGATAGTACATTATGTTCTTTTGTAGGAACCAGAATCACAGCTCGCAGACATCGTAAAAGCGAGATCGTTTTTTGGACGTTGAGGCACGAAGGTCCGAACAGATCATCGGGGGAAGACATCCACATTTTCGTTGACTCGTTTTGCGAAGACACAGTCGCACAGTCGGCCCACATCGCATCTTTGTTGAGGATTTTCGAGGAAGTCCCGCCACATCCCGACAACCCAAAAGCATTTTGAAAAACTTTGAGAAGAAAGTGAGTGATAAGGAAGGAAGTAGCGTAAGTGCCGAAGCGCGACTTTATATAGACCGCTTTTCGGGTGATTGTCGGGGCGCACAGCTACGTCTGGTTAGCGGAGAGAGTACGATGATGATCATCACCATCACCAGCACATCGCAAAGAATGCATAGTCAACTCGCAAATGACACAGAAAAACGGTAATTGTCCTCTGACGGGAGTGTGCGCCATGCAATGCTGTCCTACTAAAACGCCATGGTCTAAACGCCTTGCACCAATACAATATCACAGCTCTTCCACCTCTCGCTCAACACTACTCGTCCTCTCACGAGCCTTCGACTTCCCTTTCTCCATGCGAAAGCCCACTTCCGTCCTCGCATCATCCGTCAGTCTACCCCACTCAAGCAACAGCCTGAACATGTACACCTCCATGTCCTCCTTCCTCAACACCTTCTCCGTCCAAACCTTGCCATCGCGTGCGATCTTCTCTGCAGCCTTGATGTGACCCTCCACCATGCGCTTATTCCTCGCCTCGACGCCATACCCACCGAAGTACGCGAGCGAAGAGAAGAGATCGTGTAAGCGTAGATCGACAGGAACGAAGTGTTTCCAGGCAGTGAGGCGACCTTCGTACCATTCACGAAAGAGGGCAGCCTTGAAGACCACTGAGTTGGACTGTAAGAAAGGGAGGAAGCGACCGGAAAAGCCAGCTCCATCCGCGTCGAAGAGGTAGCGGTAGCGCCAGTGTTGCTTGAAGTCAATAGGATCGCCGAAGCCGAACTCCCGTGTTTGGTCAATGCAGTCTTGGCCTGCACAGCGCGCAATCGGACCCACAAGGCGGACATCAGTTTTCGTCTCGAGAAGTCTCTTGATATCATTCGTGCGCTTCAGCATGTACTCCAGGTGGCCACTATGATCGGGTTTCGGAAGAAGGATCGGTTGACGGGATGTTTCGTTGTTCAGGAGATGCACGATTCGTTGACGGAGCATACCTTTCCAAGTGCCATGGGTAGTCACACCTTCCGTAGTTGTCCCGCGCCAGAAGAGAACATCTGCCTTGTCCTGGAAGTGAGGATCGGGGAACTTTTCATCAAAACCATACTTGCTTTTGCCCAAGTAATTCCATGGTGATGGGTATCTGATATCGACGAAACCGGGAGCCCGACTCTGGCTGAAGATTGGAACCATGTCATGAGTACCCATAAGACTAGCAGGACTGAGATGCATGCCGTGTAGATTGGCGATATCTGGCTGATGGCACGGTTCTGATGATAAGCTCCAATTAGCCACGAATGCGCCCATGGAATGACCTTGGGTACAAGTGTGACAGAAGGATCTCGTCTGCCAATGCCGCTCTTTTCGTGCGCGCGACTCAGGTGGACATGCGACAGAACCGAAGGTCTCATACGAATGCTTGATGCGCGCGTCGACGAAAAAATGCGGATCCGTTCGTACGCGGTCCACGTCCAGCCATTTCTCTGCGCGGTCTACGCTGAAGTCTTTACCCGGGCGAGACGCATCAGGGGAGCGGTACTGCTGAGGCTTGTCAAGCGCATCTCGCAACCGCTCGTACGGTGCAGCCACGCGACTCTCATCGTTTAGGTTCAGAGCAAGATCCATATCCGGAAGCGACTCGGAGAACTGCTGAATCATGGCCGCCGCGCCATCCATCATCCAACGATGTGTACCGGGTACGTTGTTGAAGACCTCCACCTTCCCGTTTCTTATGCGTAATCCACCGACCCCCTCATGCGTAGCCAAGACAGTGGCAGTACGTAAGCGAAGATCATCGGCGTTAAAGGAAGAGAAGGGTGCCAAGTCTTGTTCGATATTGTCGTAGTCATCGATTACAATGGAGTTCCGGCTAATGGCAAGGTGATACCACTTGTCGAAATTCGGCGGAGGGTCGCGGTTGTAACGTTTTCGATATTGCACAACGGCCTCCGAGAGAGATTTACTCCGGTAGGCTTGTGATGCCCATCGGTCGTGCTGGACTGTCGCGATATCGATCAAGGTAGTGATGGGATGTTCGAGAACGGGACCGTGCCGACGATATACGACAACACCGATGGAGAAGGCGATGAGAAGTACGATAAATCCAGCCGACTGATTCCTGCCCAGGCGGATGGGTACTTTCGATCGTATGCGGGTTTCGATGCTGGTGTCTGTGACGAGGTAGAGGATGAGCGCAATGGTGAGCAGAGTCAAACACAAAACAAGTCCGACGGTGGATTTTGGTGGGAACGAATAGGACACGCCGGTGCCCAGAGCACGGAGAACGCCAATGTATGCAGAGGAAAATGCACCAAGGAGCAAAGCGCTCATAACGCCATACAATCGAGCCTAGGAGGTCAGCGAGAGAGGGGCAGAGGGGAGATAGTAACGTACCGATTTGAGGAAACATAACGTCATAAAGGGTATCATCAACGATAAACGCAAAAGACCAAGGAGATATTCAGACGGAAATGAGAGCATCCACTCGCGATGCTCAGGCATTGCGGGGTATATGATAATGCCGGCGACGAGAAGGACCAAAGAAGATGCCTGTTCAGGGTCAGATGTGTATGGTGCATGAAGGCGATTGACGTACAGTAAGTGTCAAGCCGACTAAGAGATGATTCGAGGTACCATCTGCAAGATGGATTGTCCAGTCGTCGGCCTCGGAGATACCATCGTCGATCAGACGGTATACTATCTGGACGATGACGCAGTCCAGCAAGAAGCCGAGGAACTGAAGGAAAGGAATGGCGGTTGCAGTCGAGTCTGCGGTGGGACAGATGTAGTTGGAGTGCAACGAGCTGGACTTGATGATGACAAGGAAGCTGCTGACAGAGAGCAGGAAAGAGGGAATGATGTATCGCGTGGAGCCGTCGAAGATGAAGCTGTAGACGCGGTCGAGCTGGGTACGCGGGCGCGTGTCAGCACTCCAGGCGGGGTATTGTCGCTGACTGGGGTGCCGAATGCTGTGGTAGAGGGCAGCGACGAGGGGAAGGAATGACTATATCGGTCAGTACTGTTGGCGCAATGGGAGAGGTTTGCGCACCAATGCAGAGGGGCCGCTGCACTCGACGTCCTTGGTGACGCGGTAGAAGATGGCTATGCGCCCGCATATCGCGAACAGCAGGACGGCCAACAGCGCGCCGACAGCCCGAACGCTCCATCCTCTCCGCCGACCTGGCTGGCCTGCCTCTGTCCATATCTCTTCGGCTGCCGGTCTGCTCTGCACCTGGTTCAGGGCTATGGCGATATATCTTGTATGCGGTTGCGGCTGTGCACTGCGCGACGACCAGGCTTCAATTGCGACAACGGCGAGGCCAGTCAGCAGCAGGACGATGGCGACGGTGTGCAGCGGCTTGTCGAAGGCGAAGGAGTAGTCGACGGGGGTTGCAGTGCTCAGGTACCCGGATGCTAGGACGAGGCCGCTATTGTCTTGTCAGCTGGTGTGCTGCTGGTAGCCTAGGACTGTGCTTACCACGGGAAGAAGAGGGCCTTCCTGTCCATGACCGCCGCATTCTTCGTGGCTTTTCTTTACAGCGGTGGGGGGAAGAAGTAGTCGCGACAGGCAGCGCTCAACATGGCCCGACGGTGAATTGAGCGACGTGAGAAAGTGATTGTACTGAGGCCCGCGTCACTTGGAGCACGGCTGCCCGGCACCTGCAGCCATACCACCGGGCTGTGCTAGAGACCCTCACACTAACGGGAGGTGGAGAAGTCCGTGCCCACCCCGAGTCGAACGTCAATTAGCGGTTCTGCTATACGCAAATACGCATCTCTACGACGCATCCCATGTTTCGTCCACTGCCACTCGCTGCGTCGACATCGCATTCGATGGGTGAAGGCACCCTGCAGTCGCCGATCGGACCCTGGGACGCCATCTCCAGGAACCGTCCGCAATTACATCACGCACACGAGACGGCTATCACGGCAGCTATTGCACTGCTTCGCCCCGCTGTGAGACGTGCGCAACTTGAGATCGCCGCTCTTGGTCGCCCTTAGCGGTATCAACTCTTCTTCAATTCTTCACCATGATGTTTGCCACTGCGACACCGAGTTCGCTATGAGACAGCAGTCGTCATCAGCCCTGGCGCTAAGCTACTATCGAAACAGCTTTTCTTGCGAGCGAATGGTGGGGTACGTACATGTCTTCAGACGCGGGAACATGCATGCGCCTCACTTTGTGGTGGCGCCAAGCACACGCGGCTGTCAGCATGTCATGCTCGTATTGATATGTGAATACAGTCATGATGGTGTCCACTTTGACGTTCTCGCATTGTAATGACTCCAAGACTAATGCGCCAGGAACCCGCTTTTGTGAGCAAAGGAGCTTCGTTCGCGGCACTGTAGCAAAATTGGAGCTGCCGGCGAAAACTGGCCGAAGACGATTACCACATCCCTAAGGACTGGCAGTCTGATGTCCGATGAAGCGCCGTGGTGCAAAGAGTACTACTGCTAGGTCTTCGGCGCGGATACATGATCCAACGATGCTTCAGCTCAGACGACTTATAGCTTTCTTTTGCGGCGATGGTCAGAATCGGAGTTGGATGGGTGGAATGATCCAAACCATCCGCCAGCGACATCACTACTGTCCAATGACATCAGGGTCTTATCAACCCCCTGCCTTGGAGTATCCCGTGCAGTGAACATGAGCCCGGTGTATCTGCCCCCCAAAGAAGGAAGAACTGTGCCAACTTACGGTAGGCGTGCTTAGTTTGTGAGCACGTCGAGGAGGGTGGTATCTGCATGGAACTGTGAGAGTGTGTGACTGAGCTCTCCAAACATCTGAGGACAGATACAGACACTGTTTTACAACCTAGGACTTGGGTGGGTTATCAAGCGCGGTGTGTATTACTCGTCGGTTGACTCGCATAGGGGTGCGAAACCGGTCCTTGGTTCCGTCCACTTCATCTACTGGTAATGCGACATCCCGAACCGAGCGGCGAGCCACTCACGATCCAACTACACACAATCATTACCTATACAAAGGTACATCCGAATGAAATACATCGCGACCATCTGAGACTTCCGGCACCGACCACTGGGGCAGTCCAAATCTGACCTCGCCATCCCTCACCTTTGTTTCTTTGCAACGACGGCCTCTCCTTTGGCCTAACATTAAGGGCTTTGCAGCGTTGTAACGGCTTCCAAACGCTGGTGATCTCTGCTCAAGTTGCGAAGCTGCTGTCTCGATCGACCAATACCTCACAATGCAATAACCGATGACCGTCACTAAGAATCGCGGCGCTGCCAGAAAGGCGAAGAAGCGACAACCCCTTCCGTAGGTAGCCCGTATCCACTTACTTGCCACGAGAGCTAACACATGGTAAAGGTTAGGTCGCAGAATCCTCCGCCTATACGCAGGCTCATCACACTGCACGTTCTCGGTGCATGCAGACCTGCTTTGCAAGCATTCCGTTTACTTTAAGAATTATATCCAGAAAGCAAGGAAAGAGATCGAAGGCGAATGTGTCATATGCCACGAAACTCTCCATGCGGTGGGCGCAGACTTGACATACTGCGAGAGATGTGGGAACAACCTTCATCAAGACTGCTTGGGCAAATGGTACCAGACCAAACCCACGTGCCCTACATGTCGCACGAAGTGGGTCGATCCTTCCCCCTTGGATTGCATGGTTCTTGAAGATCTCAGTGCCGATGGGTTCGATATGTGGGCTCAGTGGCTCTACGGATCAAGCCTCCCAACCTATAGCGCGGATCAAGGAGAAGATGAAGTTCGTTGCATCCGGCTGATCGATGCGCATATCGTGGGCGACTTCGTAGGAGACAGCGATTTCGTACAAGTCGTGCGCCAGGACATCATCAGCTGCTACCTCAACGCCTCGGACGTCTCTCGCCAAAATCTCATCGATCGTGTATACCATGACACACCTGGTTTCTCGGGTCTTCGAAGGATGTTTATCGACCTACATATCGCCACGCACAAAAACATATTCCACAACACGTTTAAGATAAAGCGAGATCTTCCGCGAAATGTTATCCAGGAGGATATTCTCTTGAGTATATTGGATAAGACGAAAGCTCGCAATAACGAACAAGTCTGGGATATTATGAGAACTGCTGGTCATATCGAACAGGACGAGGAAAATGTTGACGAAGGTGATGATACTGGAGATGAGAGCCTGGAGGATTGAACAGAATTTCTGATGCGGAAGAACATGGATCGATGGTATGGAAGTGTGGATCTGGCCTAGAAGGGTCGTCGGTATTGGCTGGGGTCATTCGAGCGTTCAGAGCAAGTTCTCTACGCGACCTCGAGAGACCTGGCTGTCAAATAGATGCGACTTGTATTGTAGGACAGTTAAAGGGTGTTTGAATGTGTAATGAACTTACGCGCAACTACGCAAGCGGGTATCAGACGCATTCGCAAGGTCAGCAAACGTGAGCCCCATGAATAGTGTATTCAGCCGTTATAGCACAGAACTCGCAGGTACACACAGGATGACGTATAGCAACCATGCGCATACGTCGGATAGGCATCAAAATCGCGCCTTCCAAAGTCTCGAAATGTGTCCTGTCGTCTCCGCCAAGCCGCTCGCATCCCACTCCCGAACTCGCATCCCTCGCCCAAACCAGGTTAGTCATCAAACCACCGAAGAACAGCCAGGTTCCTGCATGCCACTAAACCAAACCCGGCATTGTAAACTTCATCAACCACCCACCACCAACCCCCTCCAACCAATCACGCGCATCACGCAGATGTGCGCACGACGCCCGTGGAATCCGGGTCGGAGGGTTTGGCACGACCGTCTCGCCGTTACGCACGTTTGTTTTTGCCGATGATGGGGCTGGAAAGCGTGGGAACCACGTTAGAACCACGTTTTCTCTTCTAGCAAGCACCTGGGCATGCAAGGCGCAGGTGGCCCTGCGTTTTTTTAGGCTGACAGGCGACTGGTGTATTCGGTATGTTCCGGGTAGAAATGTGGGTGGAGGTACATATACGAGGCTATAGTACTTTGAGGTAGTAAACCGCTTCATCAATTTCGTCTTTCTGACCTGCTTTCGTGTGTGTGGGGGTATTCAACTACCAGGACGCTACGATGGCTGCTACCAGCACCCCACTAGAAAAGGAACCGCACATATCCTCTCAACCCATCACCTGGAGGAACTGGTACAAGAAGATAAACTGGCTCAACACAACGCTCGTCATCCTGATCCCAAGCTACGGTCTCTACCTCGCCCGCTCCACACCTCTCACCCTCCCAACTTTTCTATGGAGTATTGTCTACTACGCCACAACCGCCTTCGGTATCACAGGTGGATACCATAGGCTGTGGAGCCACAGATGCTATTCCGCACGCCTTCCCCTACGCTTATTCCTCGCATTTACAGGAGCTGGAGCGATTCAAGGCAGCATACGGTGGTGGAGCGCTAATCACCGTGCTCACCACCGGTGGACCGATACCATGAAAGATCCCTACTCGGTTATGCGCGGACTCTTATTCTCGCACATCGGATGGATGGTGCTGCATAACGATCCGAAAGTTAAAGGGCGGACGGATATTTCTGATCTGGATAGCGATCCCATCGTCGTGTTTCAACACAAGCATTACGGTAAACTGCTTCTGTTTACAGCCTGGATCTTTCCTGCCATGGTCGCTGGCCTGGGCTGGGGCGATTGGTGGGGCGGCTTTGTGTACGCGGGGATCATACGGGCTTGTTTCGTGCAGCAGGCTACGTTTTGTGTGAATAGTCTTGCGCATTGGATTGGCGAGCAGCCGTTTGATGATCGGAGGAGTCCGAGGGATCACGTGTTTACTGCGTTGGTGACGATGGGTGAGGGGTATCATAACTTCCATCATGAGTTTCCGTCTGATTACCGTAAGTTGATGCTTCCTTTGAGCAATGGGAGGAGTAACAATACTGATGCTAGAGCAAAGGGAACGCGATTGCCTGGTACCAATACGACCCTACTAAATGGCTCATCTGGATCATGTCGAAGATCCCGGTCTTTCCTCTAACATACGACTTGAAGACTTTCCGCTCGAATGAGATTGAGAAAGGTAGACTTCAGCAGCAACAAAAGGCTCTCGATAAGAAGCGATCGATGCTCGATTGGGGTGTGCCACTCGCTCAGTTGCCGGTGATTAGTTGGGACGACTTCCAGACTCAGGCTTCGGCCAAGGGCGCTGCTTTGGTGGCTATCGCTGGAGTGATACATGACGTTTCGCCGTTTATCGCTGATCATCCTGGCGGCAAGACACTGATCAAGAGTGCGATTGGGAAGGACGCTACTGCGGTGTTCAATGGTGGGGTATATGAACATTCGAATGCGGCACACAACTTGTTGTCGACAATGCGTGTTGGCATATTGCGAGGCGGACAGGAAGTCGAAGTTTGGAAAACAGGTGCGGAGAAAGACACCAGAGACACCAAAGGGCTCGGTGTTGCCAGGGCTGGTGATCAGATCACAAGGGTAGCTGCGCCAGCTACGGCAGCCACAGCAGCCTGAACCATTTGAAGCCGAGGTATTGAATCTTTCATTTCAAACACAGAACTCTGGGATCGTATATGATCCTTATTCTACTTGCCCGAAGGCACCTCCTCCCACTGCACTCCGACCCATTCCTCCACATATCCGACTTCTCCTTCCTGAACATCGTTGGGTTTGCAGTCTTTGCTGCATACTGCCATAATAATAGTGCCCCATTCCATGCCGTCGAGACTCATCTCATCAGCCTCTAGCTCGGTGATCGCATGCGGTGTCAGCTGAACCTCGAAGACCCTGTCCGCGCCACAAGTCGAACAGCGAGGGAACCCAGCCCCACTCCGCGAGCCTGCTGTCTTGACTTTTGCGTTCGACGAGGAACCATTCTCTGAGTGTGGACCCAGAAGCTTGCCGATCGCATCGTTGTCGCTGTACAGGAGCGGCTTGCCTTTGTACTCATATCGTAGCACCTGCTCTGCATTCTCTCCGATGCGATCTGCAAACTTTTGGAACGTCCTGTCCATGGATGACTCGAACACCTCCTTGTCTTCTTTTCCACCACCGCTACCGCTTCCTTCGTTATCTGTGTCCATCCGTACGTTCGCTGGGATTGAGGGTGTTGACGGGGCGTCTAATGTCTCGTATTCGGCGTCGAGGTGATAGTGAGGGAATGGCGTAGGGAAGGCTGAGTCTGCTGGCCATGGCTCATGCGGGCGCGGGGGTTGTTGTTCGGAGGGAGGTGGTGACGAGAGACGAACTTTGGACGCGAACGTCTCGGGGAGGGTCGTGGAGGCTTCGTCCTTCTTCTCTTGAGGTTCGCTCACTTGCACTGCGGGTGTGGGAGTCGATGCGCCGAAGGGATTGGCACCTGGTTTGGAGAAGGGGTTCGATGATGCTGCGCCATTCGGGTTGGACGAAAACGGGTTCGAGAAGGGATTCGCGGATGTCGATGCGCCTGTCCCGTTCTTCACTCCGAACAGCGACTCGCCAATCTTGGGCTGCGGCTTCTCTTCCTCCCTGACTTCCTTCTTCTCGGCCCTGGGGGCGCTAGCCTTATTGTTGGCGCCTTTTGCGATGCGCACTCCGCGTATGCCCCTTACACTGCCCTCCTTCCTTCTACACGGCTTGCGCCGACACGTCCAGATGTAAAGCCGCCGCTCGTGGCCAGGAAAGTTGTCGGGAAGGTCGCCGTTGAGTTCGAGGAGGAGGCTAAGGTAGCCATTGCAGACTTTACATTTTGCTAAGGCGCCAGAGGGGGCTGTTTTCTCATCTATCCAACTCTACTATAATCGTCAGAAAGACGCTCGGCGTGGTTGATGATATGCGTACCGGTGCGCCTCCAATATGGGAAATCGCGTCGCCCGTTGCTTCCCTCGCTGCATATCCTAGCAGAACATTCGTCTCGGTGTAGTCGCCCCCATCGTCTGAAGAATCACTGTCATAGGGCGCCATTCTGGTTGTTCTTGTGTATATTTCCACAGTTGATCGTTTGGCGGGGTCTAACTTTTTTGAATATGACGCGGGGCTGCTCGGTGGCCCATGCGCCTTTTGTCGCACTGAGCGAATTTGACCAAGCCTGCAACACCAACTCTTCGTCGCTCATCCACACAACCACCATGGGCGCCCCTTTCGACTTCGCGCCTGAGCGGCCGGATCACATGCAGCAGATCCTCGATGGACTGGATCGCTACAACCCAGAGACGACGGGTGTCTTCCAGGACTATGTCATGCAGCAGTGCGAGAACCAGACGTACGACTGCTACGCCAACCTCGCCCTGTTGAAGCTGTACGTGTCCCCCCGACTCTTCCCCCCATGCTACAAGATGAATAAACAACCACAACGTTTCCTATTACCCGAGGGATGGAGCATGAATCACTCCCCCGCTGAAGTTTATTATTAGCTCTATCTGACAGCTTTCTCCTGACTACCATTGTACCTCAACCATCATCGTTACATCTGCTAACCACGATGCTCCAGCTACCAATTCAACCCACACCTTGCCCGTGACGAGACCATCACCAACATCCTCGTCAAGGCTCTCACCGTCTTCCCCAGCCCCGACTTCTCCCTGGGCCTCTCCCTCCTCCCTCCACACGTCCTAGCTCCTCTTTCATCTTCATTACACAACCCAGCTGCTGGCGACGCGCCGCTATCAGAAGCTGTCCAGAAGCTCAACGAGCTGAGGAATTTGCTTGAAGGTGCCGACTACTCTACCTTCTGGTCCACACTAGACTCCGACGACCTGTACGCCGACTTGATTGCCGATGTCTCAGGGTTCGAGGAGCTGATGCGCGTACGCATCGCTGCAACCGTCAGCCAGGCGGTTCGCGAGGTTGACCGCAGCATCCTCGAGTCGTGGTTGAACCTCTCTGGAAGCGAGTTCGACAACTTCGTCGGAAGCGTTTGCGGGTGGAACATCGATGGTGCCAAGATCAAGGTGCCCATCAACAAGGACAACGAGGCTAAGGGCACCGTTGTCCGTGAGAACGTCAAGTTCGATCGTAAGTACACCAGCACCACGAACTTCGGGTCGCTGCTAACAAGCCTATCAGAATTCGCAAGGGTCATCAAGAGGGCATACGAACAGCCCGCATGAGCGACACGATTTATACTATGACGACATGAGGCTACGGTTTGCACGGTCGGCGTTTGAGGCGGACATTACAGCTGCATCAGTATGCGACAGAAGCGTACCAGCTGGCCTTCGACAACCGCACAGGTTGATTTCGATGGCTCGCTATATACCCCAAAAGTACGCCGCTATGAGCAGGGCCCAGGAGCATGAAATCTCCATGGGCTAACAAACATCCAATCACATAAATCCGACAAAGTTCAGACAAAGTTCACTGCTCCTCTTTGCCTTCTTTCGCAATCTAGATCTCCTTTTCGTTTCGCTTCTAACAACCCAGTCCCTGTCAGAAAACGGTGGATCACGGTCCCATAGGCTCGGAGAATCCTGACCTAAGCTTCTCACACTCGCCAGTAATCAGCCGCATGTCTATCATTCGTTATTAAATGTCCGACATCTGGAGCAACTTCTGGCTTGTAACATGGCGCGACAGTCGAATTGAATCGTACTGCGATAGGGAGTGGTGCCAAGTCGATGCGCAACGGCCCCGTGAATTTCGCTTATGCGTACGCCACCTTTGCCTCTTACCAACCGTCCAACCCTGTCAACAACAACACCAAGGACAGCTTCTACGTGTTTACCATTGCGCATTCCAGTCGATAACAATGTGGCGCGGCGGGTTAGCTCCTTTCGATCAGGTTTTGACCCTGACAGCTGAAGCTTGTTCGACATGATCACAGCCTGGAGTGTGCTTTTTGCGTTGAACTATGCAACGCGAGTCTGCGATTGTATATGGTTATGGTAGGGGTCGATGTCTTTTGCGCATTCCTTACCTTTACCTCTACCTTCACCTTCGGCGGCCCTACACCTGATACCTAGGTATTCACTGCGCCTTGGTCACATGATACCCACATTCTGCTCTGCACACATTCACGCCCAGATTTCAGCTGCTACATAACCCTCACACTCTCTTCTCTCTCTCTCTCACTACCAGTAACATTGCGAGCTCACATAACCGTCCACGTCACACACAACATATACGAAATCTCCACATCACAGTCTAAAGACCGATCTTACCGACTCGGAACAATTCAAGTCCAAGTGCGCTGGTAGCAAGCTCTAGCTCACGTCACACGCGGCTTCTCGTCAGGTCTCACTCGTGACCGCCTCGGCTCAGCTGCTTCAGCTGCCTGTAGCTTACACGAAGCTGAGCATTCCATCAATTTGGATCACGTTCAAAAAAGCGACTTAAGTCTGCAAAATCGCCCAGTTGTGCGACCATACCGAACATCGATAATACGTCATCATGTCTCTCCGGGAATTCGTACTCTTCATTGTGTGCGCCATCCTCACCTTCGCGACCGCGCAAGCCAGTCCACTATCATCACCACAGCAAGCGTCTTCTGTCAAGCGCTGCACGAATGCCGTTGCCAATCCCTCATTCGAGATCCCTGTGCTGTCTCCGTGGATGGATATGGTGACCGGCTCGTGGTACTCTCGCGGAATATCCACATCCCCTACAGGCGGGCACTCCGGCAGTAATCTCTACGCCGCGACATCGAATAGCTCAGCGGTCCAAGCTACACTCACGTTATCGCAATCCTACATTGATCTTCCTGTCGGTGCGACGGTAGATTGCTACGCATGGGTTACCGGAAGGAGACCGAATGGGCAAACGCGCGTTGAGATCTTCATGGATCAAGTCAGCTGTGGAGAAGCAGTTCATATGGGGACTGGAAAAGAAGGCTGGATGAAGGTTGGAGGAAAAGTTCAAGTGCAAGATGTACCTGGAGGCGTTGGTCATTCGGTTGCCATCAGTGTGCAGGGCGATGGCGTTGAAGATGAGGAAGGCTGGAGAGTGGCTGTTGACGATGTTGGTGTGATGGTCGGATGCTAGACGAGCGGAAATGAGTGGCATGAATCAGGTGATCAGGTCAGGTTGGGTGGAGAGAAACCAGATTGGCCGGAGACTGTCCAAGGGCTAAGATGAATAAAAGTGTCCATCAAAGAGCAGCCACTGCCGAGTGAACTTGAACTATCAGAGACGAGGAGAAAGATACTGAGCTATGATGTCGACAAAGGCAAGATCGGGTGTCTTACTAAAAGACTTCGCGCTAGCGGTCGTATTTGGCAGCTGCAGTATGTACTCTACCCAGAAGCATTAACTAACCCCCGATCGTCGATCAACCGCGGTTTTCAAACACTTCAATCACTCCGGTTCCTTCAGTCCAATCTCCGCCGCCTTCCGGTCGCAGAACTCGGCCATGTCCACATCCTTGATACTCAATCCCTCGGGCTTATGCGTAGTCCACTCAATCTCGACCCTATTATACAGATTCGACCAACTCGGATGATGCTTCTTGACCTTGCACTCATCCGCAACGAGCGACATGAACCGCCAAGCCTTTGCGAAACTGGTAAATGTGAAGGTGCGCGTGATACTCTTCTTCGCAGCGTTGATTTGCCATGCAGGAGAGAGGCTGGACACGCGTTCGGGTAAGTCAGTGGGTTGGTTGGCAGCGTAGATCATGTCATGCTGTGTATCTTGTTTCGGCTGCGCTGCCGGACTAGATGACGGACGAGAGCCAGTGGATAGTGACCGGAACCCCGTCGTAGTGCTTGCGTATCCCGCATAAGGTAGGGAGGTAGCTTGTTGCGGCCGGATTTGCGTCTTGCAGCGGGTCAGCAAAGACGTTTTGGTGCGACACTGATGCTGGCACAACGCGATGTACGATGGGCTGTGATTTGTTGGTTAGATGGGTTTGAGTTCTGAGTCATCAAGGCAGGTGCGAGGGGCTTTGGTCAGACGAGGGAGTGGCTTGTTTGTTGGTCTTGGAGTCTTGGGGGAACTAGTCGTTGGACTTACGGGAGAGCCCGTAAGAGATTTGGGGGCCTTGTCATGATGTAGATGGACTTTGGTGGTGATGAGGGGTTCAAGTGCAAGCAAGCGTTGATGGATTACGGCTAGTTTCCTTTTCAGAAAGAGTATAGGAGTAATTTATCAGACTGTGCCACAGAGAAGGATGATTAGTTGCGAGTTGCACAACAGATGTGAAGGCGATGCATGGTGAGGAGCGGAGTAGGAGTGAGAGCTAGCTACTACGATACGCCTTGCAAACGCGCATGGACCAAGGGTCTCGAAGATTACGGAGTACCCAGACGGCCATGTATCTAACCAAGATTTTGAGGAAGACAATGAGAGTTGTGTAATGACAAGACTCGTGCATGAAACTAGATGGGATGGGATGAGTATCACAAGGTTCGCCTTGACAGCCATCGGCTGATGCTGCGCATGTGCTTAGATGGACAGATGGGAATAGCAACGGCTGATCCGCGCGGCAAGTCATCAGCGTAGAAACATTGAGGGAAGGCGTACTGAAGCAGCGATTAACCTATCTCAGAGCGCAACAAACACTCCATTCGGTCCTTACGGGAGCTTCGGATCTGGAGACACATACATCCGATATACACTCTGTAATCAAACGCGAGAGACTAGCCTGTAGAGGATTAAGGTGTGTTTGACGGGTACCACAGGGTCGGAGTCGGGGAATTGGTCAGCATCAGCGCGCAAAAAGCAGGTCGCTGGTGGGATGCAGTAGGCAGGTCGTCGGATGGCAGCCGAAGCCAGACAGAGAAGGGCTTGGGGCGCTGATTTGCGCAGCGTGAGATGGGGCGAGTCGTGATGGCATGAGGGGAGCGTGTGCCATGGATTGCATTGTCCTGCTGCTGCTTGAGCGTTCCCGAGGCCGACCTTGCCGCCCTGCTCTGTATATAGCGCGCATCGCCCTCTTCTTAGTCAAAGCTGCGTAATCCACTCGACCAACTGCATCGTCACGATACAGGTGAGCTGCCCCAGCGTCCTACAACCCGAGACGCGCAACCAAAATGCCGTCGCAACACTGCGCGCCTGTCTTGGCGCTGGCGAGCGCTGAAGCTGACTCTCACAGCACCGGCGCGCTTTCTTCACGCACGGCAGCCTGCCCTCTCGCACCACCACCTTGTCGCGACGTCACCACCGCCGCCGGACCGCGCCCGAGGACCGCTGCTGCCACCCCGTCTGCCGCCGCCCCAATTCCCACGTTGCTGTCTAATCAACGCCACAACACCCTCGCTGCGGTGCTCCCGTGCGACGCGCCTTGAATGAGCCAAACTCTGGATCCTGCGATCCAAGCCAGCACTGGCTATAACATGCAGGCATCTGCCGCTCAGGTAAGCTGCGCTGACTATTCAGGCCCGTTGCGCTGCTGACACGCCGCTTCAGGATCAATCCAAGCCGACCATAGAGATGAGTTAGTGCCCCGCGCATCCCTACCCTCCTGCCGATTACTAACACGTCTCGTCGCGCAGGCTTAAGAGAACATCTGCTCGCTGCTGGCGCTGGACAGCCCGGCGTGCAGCCTCTCCCTCAGCATTCCCCCCACGCCCAGCATCCCCAGCACCCGCACACTGCTGGCCCACCACACGCCATCGACCCGGCCATTGGGGGCTCCGCCTACGACATGAGCGCCGGCGGCCCCGACGATGGGAACACGAGCGAGGGTCGCTCCAAGGGGCGGAGAGAGCTGTCGACATCTAAGCGTGCCGCACAGAATCGCGCTGCCCAGGTACATGCAACGCGCGCATTCCAATGGCACAAGCTAACACCACCAGCGCGCATTCCGTCAGCGTAAGGAAGAGTACATCAAGCAGCTGAAAGACCAGGTCAAGGAGTTCGAGCAGCTATGCGAACTGTACAAGACGCTTCAAACCGAGAATTACCAATTGCGCGATTACATCATCAATCTGCAATCGCGACTACTCGAAACCCAGGGCGAGATACCACCTGCGCCGGCTGGTGTAGATCTCAACCGGCCCCACGAACAGCCAAACATGCACCAACAACCGAACCCACCACAGCCGCCCCAACAGCCCGAGCAACCACAGCAGCAACAGCAGGGCTCGAACAACAACAATGGAGGACTCTCGGAGCACCAAATCGGCGAACTGCAAATGGCAGCGCAAGCTGCAGCAGCCGCCCAACACAGCGCATCAGGCAACAAGCACACCAGCTCTGAAGGTTCGTACGACTACGCCGAGAAGCGCCAAAAGGTCGACGAGCCACCGCAAGGTCAGCAGCACCCTTCGCCGTCCTCTTTCTACCCCAACCCAGACGCTTATTGAAGATGAAGAAGCAGCCGGTCCGATCCATGGCTTACCAGCATAGTAGGCTCAGGTTCCTCCGCCGCAGATTACGACGCTTTTGTCAACGAACTCCAGCAATCGTCCAGCAAGCAGACCGCATAGGCACAGCGATACTCACATACCCCCGTCACGTCTGCTCATCTCCTCCTCACCTCTTATCGCTATTTTAATTCGCTTCTCAGCCATCCTTTTCTAGCCTCGCTTTATGATGTAATGCATAGGCCCTGAAGCCTGTCTTTTCTTCGCTCGGGCCGGCGGTGTTTTACTGTGCTGGGCGTATGGAGTTTGTGTGTCATTGACACACTTACCACGTTTTTTATTCCAACGCAAGTGTATGGGTCAGGGTAGACTGGACCGTATTTGTAGCCTCTCCCCAACAGGGTTCTGTGCTGTGCTGTGCTGTTTTAGGGGAATACCAATGTTTTCGGTGGCTTCGAGCTGCTTCCACCCTTATATCTTTGCGCGGTTTGAGTGAGACCTTCGGTTTTGCGTGCGATGAGTATTGTTGCGAGTGTTCGTTGATGTCTCTGCGCTTGTCGTCGCTGAGTCTGCTCGAGTTTGTACGGTACGACATGGCAAACGGCGTTCAGTAAACCATTGCAGCCGAGTAAATCGCCGAGCGGATGTTGGCATTGAGACGACACCTCTTGATCCAGCTCTGGGACTGCAAGCAAAACGCTCCTTCTCTCAAGCTGGCGATTCACGACAATCACTCATCACATGCGAAATTCTCGGGCGACTCATAGTGTGTAACTCTATAAATTACAATCTGGTACATTAAACGATTGGTATCATACTCCATATCATGCCCATCCGCGCATTCATCGCATAAAAAAAGGGACCTAATCAAACTGGCCAAAGGAAGAAAAAGCTCTAACTGACATCTAGAAATGGGGCGTGTTAAGCGCCATAACCATGAGCAGACCGGAAATAAGACCAGCACCTGGCAGGGTGATGACCCAACCGGAGAAGATGAAGCCAACCTGCTTCCAGTTGACGGCCTTGAGATCGAAGTTGCAGAGCGCAACACCAATGGTAGCGCCAGTGAGACATTGCGTTGTGGAGACGGGGAGAGCGAGACGCGAGGCGAGGAGAACGGTAATGGCGGCGCCGAGCTCCATGCTGAAACCACGCGTGGGCGAGACTTGGGTGATCTTGTTGCCGAGCGCGCGCACAATGTGGTAGCCGTAGAACCAGAAGCCGAGACCGAGGAGGAGACCCGCGACGACGAGGATCCAAATGGGGGTGTCGGCTTCTTTTGTGACGACGCCGGTGGTGTAGGTGTTGTAGGATCCGACCCAGGGGCCGACTGCGTTGGCGACTGTGATGTAGAGTTAGCGTTTGTATGTGGAAGTGAGGATTGGGGGAGTGGAACTTACCATCGTTGGAACCGTGGGCAATGGACATCATCATGGCGGAGGCAACTTGGGCGTATGTCCAGAGATGCTCGACGCGGTTGTCGTAGACGATGGCGCGGGAGTGGACATCGGCGAGATCCTTCTGGGTAACGACGTCGCGGGAGATACCCTGGAGAAGAATGAACTTGGTCCAGTTGGCGATCTTCTTGGGAGAGTAGGCGGGGAGGTGCTCGACGGGCTTCAACCAGCGCTCCTCAGGCTCAGGGGTGGCAGGGACAATGTGAGCAACGGCGCCATCGCGGGGAAGAGGACGGGAGAGACCGCGGCCACCCTCGACGTCAATGTTGTCGCTGTCAGAAGACTTGTTGTCGAGGGAGGTGGAGTGGCCAACAGCCTTCTCGCCCTTGAGTCCATCGTTCTCTTGGATTGGGACAGGGGCAGCCTTCGCGTAGTAGTCGGTGACGATCTGGTCGCCCTTGCCGGGGAAGTAGATGGGAGGGTTCTCGCGATAGAGAAGGGGACCAAGAGGAATGTGCCACGCCCTCAGCCTGGTGTCGCCCTTGACAAGGCGGCGGGTGAAGTAAGGGATGAAGAAGATGTAAGCGATGGCAAGCATGCCGAAGAAGACACCGAGAATGATACCGCAGGCCTTGCCAGCGCCCATCTCCTCGAGAGACTCGCCGTTTGGCAGCTCGTCGATGATGAAGAGGGCGAGGACACCAGCGGTGAAAGCCAGATAGAAGGGAATTAGGCGCATAGCCCACTTGAAGGGGTCCTTGCGGTTGTGGACACCGAACTTGATGGTCAAGAAGAGGACGGCAGCGAAGGCGGCAGACAGGAATGGCGCAATGACCCATGAGGCCGCGATCTGGGAGATGGATCCCTTCTTCCAGCCCCAGCTGAGAGGAGACTGAGCAGCAATACCGGCACCAGCGAGAGCACCAACGACGGTCTGGGTGGTCGAGACGGGCATACCAGCGATGGTAGCGACAGTGAGGAAGACGGCGGATCCGACCTCGGCGCAACCCATGGCGAGCATGAGGGTACCGGGTACAGGCTTGAAGGTGTCGAGGGCGAAGATACCGCTCTTGATGGTTCCAGTGACTCGGGATCCGAGAGCGACAGCACCGAGGAACTCAGTGAAGCAGGCCAGAATACCAGCCTGCCACATCTTCAAGGTCCTCGCAGCCACGGACGTGGCGTAGGAGTTGGCGACATCGTTGGCACCGTTGGATGCAGACGAGGCGATAAAGGCGATGGTGGTGATCGCTAGGATCCAGTCGTACTTCTTCAAGGCGGGAGCCATTGTGGGTGAAGAGTGGCGAGCAGTAGCGCCGGTTGACTGAAAAGCTGAGGTGTTGTGAGGTGTCCTGACTGTTTGGTTGAACGAGTGCAGGGGAGTTTAAGTACACAGCATACAAACGGAGGCGTGGGATCTTGGCGGCGCAGATGACATTTCACTGCAAGTGGACTTTTGTGGACGTCAGACGGTGTTGCCTGCCTGTTCGAGGCGCGGTGGATCATCGAAGCCACAATATCATGCTATTCGGCTCTGGCCGTGGTCCAAAAGCCCAACAGCACCTATTTTCTGGACCCTCAGCGCCGCTCCGGGGTGAGCGTTCGGGTGCAAGAGACGTGTGATTGGTCTGCAGGACCCCCAAGCCTGGATCCACGCGCATGGCATGTTGGTGTCGCGTTAAGGCTCCACTGTGTCTTGTCGCGGGTCTTCGCCATCGCCTTGGTGTAACCAAGTCAAGGTGAACGAACGAGCGTTCGACGCTGTACCACGTTCCCTTGGCGCCCAGTCCGCCCAGCCCCACGCCAAGCTGGTTCTCCATCCTTCGAAATCTCTGATAACCCCAGATCACCGTAGACGCCGCTAATCCTCCAGCCAATCACCTTGCGTCGTTTTACCTCGTGGTAGAACCACGCCCTCACAGCGTGCTACACGACTGCGGCTGGCAGAGCGTGGTATTGGTATTCACGAAATACGGTGCCGCATAACCGCGTTCCCGTCCGCCTAAGTAAGCCTTACAAGGATTGCCGAGGCAGCCTTCGTCGAGCTTCGGTGCTGCCATGAGATGAGGCAAAGCCTTGTCAACCACTACAAGCCCTTCATTGAAGACATGTGCCCTATGATATAGCAAGTCGTCTAAACATGCAAAGAAGGAAGTTGATCGGGCTGGCCGAGTGGGTGTCATGACTTTGCGAGGAGATGATGATGGAATATCGCCAGGGTCTACCAAAAAAGAACTGCGAGCTGAAGGCTAACAGTGACATTCACACGCGCCTGGTACATGGGACCATGGATGGAAGAACGTCGGGTAGGCGCCGAGTTAGGTAAGCCAGACATGTGCGCAATCGGTCCGTGGCCATCGCGTCTCTCGCATCTATTTTCAACACATCACCTCCTGGCTTCTTCGAACAACATGGTATTGTCTTGAATCATCATTGGTTCCATTCATTCGGCGAGCTCCGTGATGGTAGGGCAGACCTTATGCAACAGCCCACTGTAACCCCATTAATCCTTGTCGTCCCTGTTCATGCATGGAAGCCCGCGAATTCTCCCTGCATGCTCATATCCGCTGTCAATGTCCCAGACCCATGGTACACGAGTTTAGACCCGCTTGCGTATAAGAGGCCGCCGGTACTTGCAGGACCCATAGCAAACAAGGGTCAGTGCGGTGTTACAAATCAGGACATGTTGGCACCATGTTTACGGAAAGGTGTCTCATATGTTAATTGCATCTGTCTTGCAGCTGCAGGAGCAAACATTCTTCCTTGCAGTCTGATCCACTACCTTCTCAGGCTCCCCAATACAGATTCTGTATGCTTCCGCGCTAGACCTCACAATTTGCCCACTCTCGTCCATCTCCCCACTCCATCCAGCTGTGCAGCTCTTCAACCATCTCAAGATACGGAATTGACCCCCTTGGCAAGCGCAGACACTTTCTGACCAGCCTATCGAACACCTTCTTCAGCTCAACACAGTTGTCCAACGTAAGCTCTGGAATCTGTCGTCTCATCTCGCTCGCCAAGAGTATGAACGCCAGCACCTTTTCCCCGCCCCGAACCGCGTTGTAATCGCCGAAAGGAATGTGGATAGATTCTCGACAGAGCGCTTCGACTGTAGGAACGATGGAAGTAGTGATGGACCTTCCATCTTCCACGTTGGTCACAGACGTGAGTGGAACGTTGTGAAGCAGAAGATATTGGGTGATGAGGAAGGGAAGTGATCCGTTCAGCGCCGCGATGAGGTCCCGCATCGTAAGCTGAACGCCTCGGTCGAGCGCCAGTTGTATGATAGCGCGATGACCGTGTGTCGCAGCGATGAGCACAGTGTTGACGTCCGCATCATCTGGATGTACCAAACCTTTGTCGAAGACGTATTGCACAATGTTGGTATGACCATGTTTGACCGCAAGACGTAAGCCTGCAGTCAGGGCATTCCAATAGGGCAGGTCGGCGGTTCGAGGATTCCATTGGTCTATGAGCCATATGAACACGTCCATCTGTCCCCACCTCATGGCATCGGTAAGGTAGTATGACCGGGTCTTCATATGTGCTGGTATTTCAACGCGGCATCTTGGCAAGAAGTTAAACAGTGTGACGACGGCCCTCAATTTTCCGGTCCGAACTGCGAATCTTATTGCGGAAGTGATAGTCTCTGTGAGTGGACCACACCGGGTGGTACGACCGTGCTGTATCCGAGCGAAACGCCGCTTCGTGAGCTCATTGTTGACTTCTGTGAGCAGACACTCAAGAACTTCGACATTTTCACTGGAAGCTGCTGCGGTCAAAGGGTTACCAAAGCCAGCAAAGTATTTGGGGAACCAGTCAATAACCTCAGCAGATTGCGAAATGTAGTGACGAACAGCTGCGAGACTCCCTACTGTAGCTGCTGCTGCCAGCATGTCGTTGACGTTCTCTTGTGCAGAGTTGAGATGGTCCCGTTCCCTTTCCGCTATGCTGTGCGAACCAGGTCTGAAGATTGGTGTAAAGACCGAGTCCAACGTCAATGGCTTTGTGTCGAACATAGTCCGTGGGGCAACTTCGTTTGTAAGGACTAGACCATGGATAAGTGCGTTCAGATAGTCCTTTCGCAGAACGGAATGATCTGTGCCCGTGGTAGCAAACTCCATGAGCTTGTCCGTAACCTTGTGTATGAAACTCGGCAGTCCAGAGGCTATGATATCGTTGTCTTCGATGTGATTGAGCAGATAGATCTCGATGTTGCTCAGAAGGTAGCCCTTGATGTCAGATGGGAGCGTACCCATCGAATCGGTATCATCATCCTTGTTATAACGCGATATAACGTATAGCTGATGCAGAGGAGGTAGAGGATTATGAATATCAAGGCTAACAGGGATCGACTGGCGTTGATGGTAACGACTATGGAAGTCCGCAACAGAAGTTTTTGCAAGAAGTTCGTTGTCGATGTCGCCGGCAAAGGTCCCTGTCTCTATTAGCTTCACGGTACATGTACTGTCACAAAGGTCAATGTGTACGGGACACGGCGCGCAGTCGGATTAGCTCATGGAAGGGCGCTGCACGCGCAAGGGCGGCGACGACCCTCTCGAAGAGCTCCGGTGGCAGATCGAGTAGTTGCATGTTAGTAGCTTGAAGCAAGTGAGAGTGGTGCAGTGTGAAGAGAGGGATTGAAAGTAGGAAGAGGTGAGTGAGGGTCTTGCTGAGGTGGCTGTAATAGGCAGTGGCGTCGATAAGCGAGGTGAACGAGGAAAGAGCAAACATGCGCGGCTGAGTGCATGAATCAAGTCCACTTAGAATGAAAGAAAAAGGAAGGGACGATACTCCTGTTGGTATATGGGAACGCCGTGGTGACTGGGCATAGGCTGAGACGAGAGCTTGCCGACGTTGTGTCTCACGGTGAACAACACCGTTGGGTTCATGCGAACGGGATGACTACACGCGGACGATACCAAACGAAGCCACACTCTCAGCAACAGATACATGGCATATTCACCACATAATCGCATGGAGCGCAAGACGAGAGACTGAGTGACGTCACACGAATAACATCTCTATACTATGAATATGCTTTATAGTACAAGTCTATCAGATGTGCTCGAAAGCACGGGGTATCAAAGAAAAACATGAGGTAACAAATAAAACTCTAAATGCTCGCTTGAAAGGACTAAAGGGGGCGTTGATGAAAGTACTGGGACATGAAGACTTCGTTGCACGTGAGCTCTTCAGCTTTGTGTGGTGTACATGTGTATGTGGTCATGCATTTGCGATGTAGCGTCGCGGTAGGGTTGATGCTGCTGAGGCATCAGGTGATGTTGAGGGTGTTGAGGATGTTGAGAATGCTGATGGTGTTGTGGGATGTGATGCTGGGGCTGCTGATGCTGATGAGGGTGACGCATACCCATTGCGGCAACACTGTAGTCAGGAAGCATCTCTGACGAAGCTTGACTCATCTGCGATGATGGTCTCTGATTCGAAGAGCTGCCTCTTGAGCTGCTTATCCGACTACCTATCTTGTGGAGCGGCTTCGATATCATTTGACCGAACGAGGGGCGGTCGTAGTACTGCGACTCTTCGAACTGGGGAGCAGCACCGAAGTAGTTGGGATACAGTGATTCCAGTGGGTTGGGTGTGACCTTGACTTGGTCCATGTACTCCTGTGGATACAACTGTGTGTGCTGCTCGTGATCCATGACTGGCGTGGGGTGTGCATGGGGTGTATGCATTGTAGATGTCGTCATAGCCGGTGGGAGATCTGGAATAGCCGGTTGCGCTACGTCCAGGTAATCTCCAGGGTCCACGTCCATATAACTGATACGGCGGCTGGCCGTATCCACTGCGGGCGCACCAGGCGTCTGCGGCTCCACAAATGGAGACGAGCCGCAATCATAGTCAGGTACGTGCGCCAACGAACTACTGATGCGCAGCAAAGCTGCGTTGATACTCGCAAGGCGCGCTCGTGAGTGATGTGGATTCGAGTTTCCGATGAGTATATGCATCCGCTGTTCGCGCGACAGCTTCTCGACATGCGGCACGGAATCTCTCGAGGGAGTTACGAAGCCGGTGGGTAGCTGTTGATGCACAGGGTCCAGGGGTATATCAGCGCGTAGACTCAAGGCGGTAATCAAAACCTCTTCCCGACTCGGTCGAAGGTCACAGCACTGGAGCTTCTGTCGGAGGATTCGCGAGTTGTCGGGACACCAACTAATCTGCGACCGACTCTCTCGCAATCTCTCGTCCAAGCAACCGATAAGCTCTTTCCATGTGTCGTGGAGAGCCTCCTGTCGTATCAGGTTCCTGATCACATTAGAGTATTTCCACTGGTCCATCGTCGCGCCATTCTTCATGTGCTTCGCGACGTGGTCGCATCGCTCATCCCAACCGATGCTGACTTCTTTGCACTTATCGAACCCACAACCAAACACTCTTCGCGGCAATAATGTGATGCCAATGTCTGTCAGCGACGGCAGGGGTCGACCGGCATGGTAGCGTTGATGATGCTTGATGAAATCTTTCTGTCGGTCGAAAATGCGATTGCAACCGTTGACGACACATGGCCAGTCTTCTCCAGTCTCGTGCATCCTCATCTCATGTTTCTTCCAGTCAGACTTTGCTTTGAACGTCTTCTGGCTCTTCTGTTCGGCACAATACGTACAGAACATGAATGGCTCGCCGGACTGACTCTGTGACTTGTCATCATCCGGGTTCAGCGATGGAGAAGCAACACTAATGTCGTCTGTCGGTGTGTAGCTTGGTTCAATCTTCAGGTCAAGTGGACTCTCAGTGTCCACCGCAGGCATGGAAGCTGGCACTGGACGTGTCGGATCAAGCCCAGCTGGGTAGGAACGCGGCTCCGCCCTTCTCATCCTAGAGCGCGATGACGAAGAGGAAGCAATGGAACTTCGCGTATCGCTGCTTCCTGTAGATGAAGAGAATGTTGATGCCATAGAAAGCCGAGACCGCCATGATGACCCCGACGAGGATGTTGTAGATGAACTCGCGGTGCTGGTAGACATGAATGACGAGGCTGTAGAGTTGCGGCCTAGACTTGGTGAGCATGTACACACAAAACAACACAACGAGGAACGTACGCGAATCTATCGCTTGAGAAAACATTCTCTGGATCAAATGTGGAGGATGCCTCGCCAGCAGGGCCTCAATGTGTCGCATAGACTCCTCCGGTATGTCTAGGTTGTCCTCCATTGTGGCGAGGGGAGAGCCGTATGCTCAGTTCAAATCGCGCAACAGAAGACTACTCCAACATGCCGACCATGAAGACCTTGCGACAACCCAAACGACAGAAAACTAGAACGAACGACAGGCGGAGGTGCAAAAGAGGGTGGGGAAGGGTATCCAGGTGTCGCGGTAAGACTAGGGGCCGAGGAGTGGATAATCGTGTATCCGAGCAGGCATCAGCTGCTGTTGGTGCGACAGTTGATATACAAGTGGGATCACCTCACGCAAAGGTGCAGCGGGGGATGCGGAAATGGCACGCTTCTAGAAGGCGTATGGAAGGATTGTAGAAGAAGCTAATTGAGGGCTGCTCGCGGGGGCGCTCGTGCGCAACATCGACATGACCACTGCCCTGGTTTGGCCTCAAAGCTGGGGCAAGGCTGAGGCTACGACAGGCATGCCAATATGTAGCGTGTTTGAGGTGGCCGCAAGGAACCGTAGTAGGGGCTGGGAGAGCACGAGGGCAAGCGACGAGAATGAAAGAGATAGTGTGCGCATCGACTGCTCAAGTCTCTTTCAGCGCCGTCTGAAGGCAGTTTTCGAGCCGGGTCGAGACGTGGCCGGACAAGGTGGCTGCGCGAGGCGATGATTCGCACAGACATGGTGTGCAGCAACACGCACCTATCGCAGAAACGCAACAGGCCATCCGCAACGAATCCATCCGAACACTAGGCCCTGTAAGGGGCATGCAGCGCGCGGTACCTGGATGACGCACCGCTGGTAACTTCTCGAAGTGTGTTGGTGCCGTGATGAGTGACATTTTTGGTGGGACCTGACAGGATTCATTCCTGCACGCCGAACTTCGGCATCACGCCTTCGCTTAACGCAGACGCAGCTATCGCAGCTCGACAGCCGGTCAGGCGTTGGACGAGGTAGCACGGCAGCCATTGTACATTGAGGAAGGACTCCCTCACAGCGCGCGCACGTCAATCAGCACTCGAATGCCCTTCCCACGACGACTTACTTGAGACGCGGTGGCTGACAGAATGGAGTGCTGACGGCAGGAGCACGTACCCCATGCATAAACGATAGCAGCGAATGAACGCTTTGGGACTGTGATTGTAACAATTGGGCTGCCGCACTGCAGTCCGTCATCGCTGAGGATGCCCTTGTAGCTCGAGGTCATCGCGTAACCACGCGCGATCAAAGGAAATATCGACTAGTGTAGGGTAATGTAAGGAGACGGGACTCTGCCATAACGGGCAGGAAGTGGCCGGATAAATTGCAGTAGTTCGAGATAACAGCCTTAGCTAGAGCGTTTGGTTGCTTGGTATGTGAAATCGGACGGAGCGTTAATCACGAAGACGTACTGTAATTAACTCCATCGCGCCTCTTCCATGTCGTCGTGAGCGCGTATCCACATTGGCGTGTCCCTGAAAAGCGGCGCCGTCGTTCGGGACCCGAACCGCCGCGGTACTCTCGAGGACGTCCAGACCGCGAACGGTTTGCCCAAAACGACGAGCAAAGTTTGGGCGAGAGTCAGGAGCGGACTGAACTTTGGATGCGGCGCGAGGTGGTTGGCGCGACGCCCGGTTAACGTTGAATTTTACGTCACGTGGCGCGTGCGCAGTTCACACGGTACTTGCGCAGGCAAGAAGCACCATGACCCGAACGTACGGCGTAGTTCAACTCTGACAACATTGGTGTTACATCGCTCTGGGGCCCCATCCATCCGGCCCACATAGTAGTACTTATCGCTTGAACTCTGGTCCTCAGAAACTGCAAACGATATTGCTAGGGATTGTCTGTGAAACCATCAAAGCGCGCGGTAGTTGGGACGACTATTCAATTCTGTTGACACGCGGCATGGTTTCCGCACTCTGCGAACGAAATGTAGAAGTACAGAGATAGCCAGCTCATACAAAGTGTCCATCGCAGTCAAAGTTGCCCTCCGTCTTGAAATTGCATGAACTCTCTTCCCCACCTCCAGTGATACGAACGTTGTCGATCTTGATATCGCTACAGCTTCCTTCTCCACAAAGGATGTAGTAGTTCTTTCCTTCCTCAGTTGCGGTGCCAAAGATGTTCTTCATGGTGATGTTTTGGATGATGACACCGTTCGTGGGGTTGCCAGTTGGCCCACCGTTTAGGTAGTCTTGCTGGATGTCGATTCCGTAGATGGAGATGTTTTCAACGCGAATGTTCTCGTAGTGGATGTTGGAGATGAAACCGGTGGTGTTGGAATTCGACTTGATGCGGGCTCCGTTCTCGGCGTTGAGAACCACGGAGTTTGTGAATGAGATGTTTGTTACGTTGTTGTCTGAATAGATGTGGTTAGTAAAGCATAATTACTGTATAGCCAGATGATGGTATGGCATACTTGACTTTCCACCCACAGATCCGATGGAGAGACCGTGGCTGCCGTTGCAGTACATGTTGCTGACGTGGATGTTGTCTCCACTGGTGACAGCTACACAATCATCCTGGTTGATAACGACACTGTCGCGAACCTTAGTATTGTTGGTGCTACTCAGACCAAATCCATCGCTGTTGTGTGCTGCAGGAAGACCGTTGGAGCGGTTGTTGGGCGCATATCCGTCGCTGTTGTCCAGCGTAATGTGGTGGACATCCAGACCAGCGCTGTTGCTGATACTGAAGCAGTGGACCGGATAGTTCTTGATGTAGATATCGTGTACGGAACTCTTTCCAAGCACCTTCACCTCAATGAAGTGGTTCGGCTTAGCAACGCCTCCGTTGCTACCAAGGCCATCCCACCAAGCCTGACCGTTGCCATCAAGTACTGCGTCTTCTTCGGCAGTGATTTCGACATTGGTACCTGCCACCTTGATGAAGGCATAGTTTGCATCGGCGTACTCCCAGAAGGTCCTTCCTTTGAACGTAACCTTGGTTCCAGTCTTCAGCTTCGTAAGATCGATACTCGAGTTTCCAGGAACGGTGATGCCATCGAGGGTTATGCAAGTGCAAGCTGCGACTGCAGCCGGGATAGCGGCGTACTTCGTCACGTAGCAGGCATCGGTAGCCGCAGTTGCAGAGGGTGAAGGTATGGCAGATACAGTTCCTGCAGTGGCAAGAGCCAATGATGATGCAGCTATAAGTTCGTCAGTACAGAAATGGTCTAAGCTGCAAAGTGCTATTAGTACCGTGGAATCGCATGCTGAAGGTTTGAATCTGACGTGAGCGTTAGGTGAAGATGAGTATACGGGATATCGACGACGCTATATAAACGTATGCAGGGCCTTGGGGTCCCCAGATAATCTGTTGAAGAGCCACCTGCATATTACCGACTAGTCGCCACATAATATCGCGCTCGGCCGCTGTAGTGGTAGAAGAACTGCAGCCTCGTCATTTCCGACCCCAAAGCACAAGCACTTCAAGCACCAAAGCCAAGTCCAGACGATGCTTGACAGCAGTGCTATGCGAAAAGAGGCATTTGACCCACAAATCGGCATCCGGAAGCGTACTATCATGGGGAACGGCTCGGAAGAACAGGGGGTACGGCTGGCCGGTCAGTGGCAAAAGGTCTAAGTCGTGTTCTGTTTGGCCGATTACTGCAGATGTACAACGTGAAACATTCATCCGGAATGCCACCATGGCCGTAGTGCAAATCCGGAGCGACTGTGCGGAAAAAATGGGTTCCGTCCAACGGCGCGGCTACTTGGAAGCGTAGATGACGGGATGAGTGATCATGGAAATGATGGAAGTCGACGGCATCTGCGGATGATATACTAATCCACAAGCTTACGCGCAATCAAAGAAGAGTGTTGAGAGAACTGCATCTTCGGATACGAAGAAGAGCCGGTATGCAAACAAATATCGGGTTGTACCTGCAATGACGGCTGCGCTGTTAGAGCAAGCATGCGCGTGGGAAAGTGATCTGGGAAAGGGCTAGATGACTAGCGGCTTGGCATCTGGATCGATACGTGCCCAACCTTGTAGCTCCTCATCTTCTAGGCCCAGTGAGCCCTCACATGAACACACCGCCCACATCATCTCCAGATTTAATATTTGAACAGCGAAAAATGGAAAGGGGTGTTGAGAGAGATTCCATGATTCCGCGCCGCCTCACATCGACATGAGGAAGATTTCCACGCCGAAGAGGTAAGAACACCAGGTTGAAACAGATGTTTAGTCATCTACGTCTTCAGAGTCAAGCTCCATGGCTGCGATCAGTCCCACGAAATCCAGCGCCGCGCAAAGGTCACATAGGTGTATCTTCACATTATTTCGCGATCGTCGGACCGAAGTCGACGGCGCACATGCAACTCATGATGATCTCTTCCGATCGTGCAAAGAGATGGCAAGCCGAACAAATAATATAACATGATGAATATCAAACCAGATTTTGGTCATTTGGAGAAGATGAGAGGGTATTGAGTTGAAGATCTTCATCGTGAGCGAAAGTTGCTTCATGTACACCTGGACGCCAGTACACATCTGGAGATCTCTTTGCAAGATAGCAATGGATATCCACTTCTGGCGATCAAAGCTTCTTGATCTCGCCGAAGGAGCTCAGACGCATATCGCCTCCTTATACCAGATCTTTCGAAAGATTTCCCTCGAAAATTGCTCTCGCACATCGATGGAAGTCTGGAGGCTCACCCGCTCTATCATCATAGCTCATAATTCGTACCGTGTTCGTTTTCGATGCCCGATCAAACCTCCAGGTTTGTTTCCAGAGAGAAGCCAGATCAGCATGATCCAAGCATCTCTGGATCCCGGGGCACATGAGTACAGGCGGACGCGTAGATCCCATCAAACGCGATTTTGTCGCTTTCGCTCGAGCATGAACCGGAGTAGCTCCAGCAGACCTGAGCACCGACATGGTGTTTTTGTTCATCAATATCGCAAAGCTCAGAGAATGACTGCCGCCAACGGTACAACAACCTATTCGCAATCAGCTACCAATCTTAGAAATCAATACAAGGAAACTTACGAAGCCGACCAGAGTCATACCCAACCCCACATCCTCGATCCTCGCCGCACCACCAGTCGTAGCCGGCACCGTCATCCCTGTTGTAGGAGTCGCAGTTGAATGGGTCGCAGTTGACTTCGAAGCAGCAAAAGAAGCCGCCACCTGTGCGGGCGACAAAGTCTTCGCTGGATTTCCATATGGCCTAGACGCGACTTTCGACGCAGTCTCATCTTGATCGTCAGGTAGGGGCACATCAGGCACTTCAAAGCTTCCAGTCGGCTTAGGTGCTTGAAAGCCTCCGGTCATTTCAGGTGCGTCAAAGCCTGGTGTCGCTTCAGGGTCTGGTCGGTCGGCTGGCCTGTATGGGTTGGGTGCTGCTGGTGCGGGTGCGATGGGTTCGATGATTTGGGGTTTTGGGGGCGTGGGGATGCGTGGTGGGGGGATGAATGCTGCTGATGATGTTGCGATGAAGAGGGTGTATAGGAGGGTGTGTGGTAACATTATGACAGGTATGGGATGATTTTAGTTTGGATGTGATGATGAGGTATTGACGGGACGAGACTAGATGGTGAGGGATGCGCATCGCAAAATACTACTTGTTGTATATAGGCGTCCATGATCATGATGTATGTGGGTTTCAAGGCGCCCGGACTACATGGGCAGTGTTGTGCTAGCCGCCTATTGTTGTTGCGGCGCAGCGAAAATCAAGGGCGGAAAATACGCCCTGCAGCCCCGCGATTCGGGCGATGCACGCCATGGCTTGATGCGTAATTTTAAAGATTGGGTGCCCAAAACACCAACCTCTGATATTTCCAAGGACTTGAAGAGGATGTGGGCTGAGGAACGATATGAGTAACCGAGAGTTCTACTCTCGAACCGAACAGAGAGGAGATGTGCGCGCCACCACGCCCACTGAGACCTTTCTTAAAAACGCCATCGCTATGCAAACACAAGGGTAATAACTAACCGACAACCCACCGCTTCAGTCACATGTCCAAACGAACCAACCAACCACATCTCCTTGCTCTCCAGATCATCGATAAACCTCGTCAAACGGCCTGGTATCCCGGAAACAACTTTCCCACACCTCATTCACTACTTTCCCAGCATGTTCTTGATCCTTTATCCCAGGCCTCGCCATCATACTCAGCGTCGCCCTCCTCCTAACACAAGACTGTAATTGTTCCATGATATTCCATTGATTCCTCGTGAAGAACTCTCTCGAGAAACGGCATTCGCCGCTGAGTGTGGATGCGCGAATCTCTAGACAGGCCTGGTGGCGCAGGTTCTCAGGTTCGACTTTGAACTTTAGATGGTCCCACGCGTGAACCATCTCATGCGCCATGGTGTCTTCCTGGTGCCCGCGATTACGGAACTTGTTCGCGCAGAGCAGGATGCCGTGGTCGAGGGAGAAGCCACCAGATTGCTCATTCGTGCACATGCGACAGAGTATGTTGTCTTTGTTCAGGTCGCCGCCTAGTTTGTACACTTCGTCCGACATGAAGCGTATGATAGGACTGTACTTCAAGAGGTATTCCTTGTTGGACTCGCAGCGCTTGCATATCGAGTCGGCTTTTATCTTGTCCATTTCGTTGAAGTAGCCCTTTTCTAATTCGATGTCGCGCGAGCCGGTCATGCGGCCGAGCATTATGTTGAAGGTGCTGCTCCAGGTGTAGTATACGGGGTCGATCTTTTGGGGCGGCGGTTGGGCCATTGCGGAGAGGGATGCGCCGTCGGGCGCTGTCTCGGAGTTTGCCATGGTGGTAGGGCGTGGAGTGACGTTCGAGTTTGATTACGGGGGGATCAAGCGCTGGGCGTGCAGGTATCGCGTGGCGTATAGATGTTTGGTGTAGGGCGTGGCATGTTCCTGATTCCCGTCGCGAAAAGTTTAGGTGGAGATGGAGATGCAGCTGGTAGCGCGGGGAGCCAATCGGAGGGAAGACGTCACCGCGTACAAGGGAAGCCGAAGATCGCTTGCGAGGAAACTTGGGCTGCTTACAGTCATCCATTGCGCGACAACACACGAGCTGCGTGTTCATATAGTACACGACGCGTTGTACATATCTCACCTATCTCCTCCCCTCCCATATTTGTACCCCCACCACCTTGGGCATTCGTGACTCCCTCCGCCGCAATGGCCGTCCACATGCGCAAGCAGCCCGGCCAGCTCACCGTGGTAATAAAACTCGGTAAATACACAACCGTACATATACCACATCGACAAGAAGAGAGCACCTAACCGACACGCCCAGGAACCTCATCCATAGTCGACGAGAAAACCCACCAACCCCTCCTCTCCATCCTCTCCCTCATCGTCGAGACAGCATGCAGTCTGCGCGCCGCCGGCCACCGCGTCGTAATCGTGTCTTCGGGCGCCATTGGTGTCGGTCTACGGCGCATGAACCTTCCACGTCGTCCAAAACACCTCCCACAAGTTCAAGCGCTCGCTGCTATTGGGCAGAGTAGATTGATGTCTCTATGGGACCAGCTCTTTGGCCACTTGGAGCAGCCGATTGCTCAGATCCTCTTGACACGGAACGACATTGCCGACCGGACGCAGTATCAGAATGCGCAAAACACATTCATCGAGTTGTTGAGCATGGGAGTCATTCCAATTGTGAATGAGAACGATACTTTGGCGGTTACTGAGATCAAGTTTGGTGACAACGATACGCTGAGCGCCATTACATCGGCCATGGTCCAGGCGGATTATCTTTTCCTCATGACCGATGTGGACTGCCTGTATGACAAGAACCCTCGCACAAACCCAGATGCCAAGTCTATACCTGTCGTAGAAGACATTGCGGAGCTGGCAGCAGATGTCAGTTCGGCGGGCAGTTCGCTGGGTACTGGCGGTATGAGCACAAAGATCGTGGCCGCAAGACTAGCAACAAGCGCAGGTGTCACAACAGTCATCACAAAGAGCAGTAAACCAGGCAACATCTCCGGCATCATCGCACACGCCGAGAAGCAAAGAAAATCACGAATGTCAAGTCGAAACTCCGTCACCAACTTCCAAGACGAAGGCGCACCACTCGCACAAGCCGCCTCTCAAGACTCCAACCACGATCTCTCAGCATCCACATCCACACTGGACAACCAACAACTAACCGGCCTCTCCTCCCCTAAACCAGAAGAGCCAGTCCCCCTCCACACACGTTTCCTGCCCATATCCAATCCCATCCGCGACCGCTACTTCTGGATTCTCCACGGTCTCGCACCCCACGGCACAATCTACATCGACCAAGGCGCCTGGGCAGCCCTAAGCGACAAAGCGGGTCTCCTACCCGTGGGAATCGTAGAAGTAGACGGCCACTTCGCCCAACAAGAAGCCGTCCGCATCGTCGTTGTCAAACGACTCTCCAACCCACCCCACTCCCCCAAACCGACGACTCAAACACCGACGACGCCCCAGCCACCCAATACACCCGGCGCCCTAGCCCACGGCGTTCACGCCCCAATTCCCATCCGAACACCACTCACGCACTCATCTTCGTCATCGTACTCGATGTCCTCTTCCCAGACACTATTGCAGCATCCCCCCAATTTCGAATTGCACAACCCTGCGCCGTTTGAGATAGGGAGATGCGTGGTGAACTATTCCGCGACGGAGATTAGGCGTATCAAGGGATTGCATTCTACGCAGATTAGCGAGGCGTTGGGGTATGCGGATAGCGAGTATGTGGCGTTGAGGGAGAATATTGCGTTCTTTGGGGGTGAGAGGAGTAGGCCTAGTACGCCTGATTTTAGGCATGGGGAGAAGAAGGGTGAGGGAGTCGAGGCGCATTGATGATCGTAGCGAGACATAGGATCTAGCAAGACGAGCTTGCTCACGACGCAGACATTACAAAACGAGAGTGCTTTGCGTGTCAAGCTTGAAATTCTTGAATTGAATGAGTGATGGGATGTACTCCCAATTACGATACCAACCAACGCCAGCGGCAAACCCAAGACGCCGAGCAATGCGACTAAAGACAAGAAATTCAGTGACTACCGTGCGGAACGCCCCTTCGCCGTCGTACATGTTAGACATTATGTGAAGTTGGAACACCACCAAGACGAAGCTTAGTAGCTCTCCTCAGACTGCTCCGAGCTGCTGCGTACCTTGCCGCCCGATGTGCGCTCGTAGGCTCGCGAGCTGCCCTTGCAGTGCTTGAGAATCCAGGGGTGTACCTCGACATCCTCAAGCGCGATACGCTTCTCAGGGTCAAGCACGAGGAGTTTCTTGATGAGATCCCGCGCTTCTGAGCTGACGAAGCTCGGGACTGTGTACTCTCCCCTCGCAATCTTGCGCTGTGTCATGACTTGCGTGTCCTCAAATGGCGCTTCACCGACTAGGAACTCGTACGTCAAGACACCCAAACTCCATAGGTCGACCTTCTCGGAGTAGAAGTTGTCCTTGCCGCCACCGCGAAGCATCTCCGGGGGCATGTAGTCGAGAGTTCCGCACATGGTGTTGCGGCGGTTGTTGGGCGCGTGTACCGACCAACCAAAGTCGGAAATCTTGATCTCGCCGTGGATACCGACGAGGATGTTTTCGGGCTTGATATCGCGGTGCATGACGTGCTTCTTATGGAGGTACTTGAGTGCTGCGGCCATCTGGGCGACGTATTGTGCTGCCTTCCATTCGGGGAAGCGTTGCTCCTTGCGGAGGTGCTTGTACAGTTCTCCTTTACCAGCGAACTCGAGGATGAGGAAGATGCGCTTTGCGTCGTGGAAGTGGCCAAAGAGCTTGAGGATATTGGGGTGCGTGAGATGTGATTGGATCTCAATCTCTCGTCGGACCTGCTTCTCGACTTTGCCTTGCTGGATCTCAGACTTGTGGAGCACCTTCAAGGCACACACGAAGCCTGATGAGCGCTCCTTGGCAAGATAGACGCGACCAAACTTTCCCTTTCCGAGAGGCTTGCCGATGTCAAACATGCCCAGATGCCATTGTTTGGGTGTTGCAGGGTTTGAGGGTACGGTGTAGATAGCGGAGTCGGTGAGCGTGCGGCGATGTGATTGGTGCTGTTCTGAGGGTCGGCTGGAGCTTGCTGAGATGGTAACTTTGGCAATGTTTGCCGTCTTTGCGTTTTGCGTAGCGAGCTTCTGTAGTGTCTGATGGGGCAGCTTCATGCGGTTTGCAGCTGATTGGGAGGACGATAGGCCAGCTACCGATACGGTTGTGGATGCAGATGGCTGGGTGTTGTTAGAAGGTGCGACATTGAGAAGACGAGTGAATACACACCTTCACCTTGTGGTAGGTCGATGTAGAAGTGACGTGCTCATCGTTCTCGTCGTGGATGGTGGTGCGCTCAAAGGCGGCTTCGAGGTTTGCGACGTCGGCCATGGCGATATCGAGATGCAAGCAGGAGCGACAGGAAGCAAGCAATAGGGCCACAAAAGACCACTGATAGCTATATTGTGCTATGGGATGGGTGACAGTTGGTGGGTGTGGATGTTTGCAGGGTTCGAGGACGGATGGCAGCTAGTTAACCCAGACAAACAAGTGGGTTTCGTGCGTTGTCAAGGAAACAGCCATCGGCCATCGGCGGTCGGAGCCCTGGTTCGCGCCCCACCACGCTGAAGCTCCCCGCCATCGCCATCGGATCCACCTGCAGGTGCCTGCGAACAATTTATACACACAGCATTCTTCAGGGTCCCGTCGCATAAGTCCCCAGCTATGGCTTCCCTCAATGGCGCGCCCGCCGACACCGTGGCACCCGGTGTCGCCGACACATCCATTACCAAGGAAGGCTTCAAGATCACCACGCGCAAGCTGCCCATCCTCAAGGCCGGCCCAATAGAGGACATGACCAAGAAGCTCGGGATCGCGCCGCCCGAGATGATATTCGGAGACAACATGATGCGGATAGAACACGCCCAGAGCGGCTGGTACATTGAATTCAATGCCTTCGATGCGCTGGACCTGGTGGACAAGACAGGCGAGAAGATGTTCAAGGTCTCCTACTCGAAAGAGTGGCAGCAAAATAGGTAAGACCAAAGAAGCAGTACGGCGAGACCCTGTAGCTAACTCGGATCAGACAGAAGCAATTTGAGGACATCAAAGAAGTCGTGAAGCCGTTCGACTGGTCCTACAGCACAGATTACAAGGGCACCACACCACAAACGCCCGCCTTCGAGCCTACCGAAACCCCGATACCACTCCACCTTCTCAAGCGCCCCGACCCAATACACTTCTTCGACGAGCTGGTACTTTACGAAGATGAGCTAGCAGACAATGGCATCGCCATGCTATCCTGCAAGATCCGCGTCATGCCACAGCGCTTGCTCCTCCTTGTGCGCTTCTTCATGCGCTTGGATGATGTAGTATTCCGGATACGCGACACGCGCGTGTTTGTCGAGTTTGGGGACAACGTGGTGCTGAGAGAGTACACGGCGAGAGAGGAGAAATACGAGGAAGTGCGGAAGAAGCTCGCAGGACGGAAGGAAGACGTGCTTGCGATAATGCGAGACCCTAACCGCTTGGCAGAACATATACCCATAGTGGAGCAGAAGCTTGAGGGGTTACAACTGAAGTGAGCAAGCGCGGCTCGACAAAACCTTGATTATCACTCATCAGCCCGAAACCAAAAGCACTAAAAGCGCGGAGGCACAACGGCGACCTAAAACTGCGTCGACAATCCCAAGGTCAGTCTGACCGGTGCGTACGATAATTAGGCCTTCGCTCATCGCCTGCTCAGTAATCACGCGAACAACCAGGAAGCAGGCCTCTTGTCCCTGGAATCCGCCGTCTGACGGGCATCAATCCCAGGCGATCTCTACTCTCATTCCAGAATACCCATCGAATACACGCCAATAACCTTAGCTGGACACAGAATCCTGATTATCAAATCGCTACTCAGTATAGACCGCCTAGACAAGGGGCCGGCATAAGGCCTGCATGTGGTCTGCATGTGTACGGATAGCGAAGGAGAGTTTCACCGCTCTCGAGCAAGATAGCCTTTACAATGCAACCCCGATTACATAAACGGATGTTGTTGACTGAAAGCTGTCTGACCTCTCCAAGAGCGCCGGTACTAGTGAGGCTTGCAACCTCATGCAAGATCTGCGGCTGATACAACAGTAATGATGTGAGTTTGAACATCTACGTCCAGCTATGGTCAATACCGCTCTGTGTCCTGGTACCGAGTGTGTGCGCAGCCGTCCAATGTATTGTTACGCGCCTCGAGATCTTGCTGTCACTGCGCCCAGACAGACCTCGAGTACAATCGTTTCTGATCCTGACTATGGAAGCACAGAATTGAAATTCAATCGCTAGACTCCATCCACGTTATCCAAGTGTCTTAGCTGGTTGATGTTGATCATCGATCCCCCCGTGCGCGAACGTTTAGGGCCCGTAGGGCGGTTCCTGCTGTATTGCTTCCCCTCAAAAAGCAATTAGGTTCTGTCGATGCCGACACAAGCAAGTGACACTGCGTTAGCGCTGCCTGACATAACCAAGGAGACGCGTCCGCCTGCCAACATCAAACGGAGATTACGTTCGTCCGAGATTGGCCTTGTTCAGGGTTCCGTTGTGCACCGCCCCATATTACGACCGGCGGAGAGTGGAAAGTTGACGGTCCTCAACAGACTGGAAATCACCGGCATTTGTACAACAGATAGCCGCTGCTCGGATGGTCCGGATGGCTGGAATGACGACAAGGGTTTGTACGATAGGATAACGGGTACCGAAGACGCGAGAGTGCATGGCAGGCGTAAGGAGGATCCCGAGCGATCTCTCGTCCGAAAACAGTAAGCTGTCGATCGCGGACCAACATAAGCGTTTTTGACGAGCAGCCGCAATCTTGCTTTACGACCACCAGAATCACGCAAAGAATGCGCATCGAGCGCAGAAGCGCCTCGTCACGACAGCCACCGCATGTCTGCTTCCATTAAGGACTGTGATGGTGGGCGGATTTCTTGGCAACACCCTCATCCGTGGCCGTCCGGACTGTGATGTCATATTCAACATTGAGAAAAGCAGTCTCGGCGCCCAGTGTTGTCGCACTAATTGCGGCCTCGAACAAATACGCATCGAGCATGCTGAACTTGGATCCGCTCACTTTGAGTCCGGCCCGCGTAGCGCACGCACGTCCCAATCATCTACTGCGGCGAAGGACGAATCTCAATCCACAGGCCCAGCCATCTCGTCCGAGGCCATGGCAGATGGTGCAAGACTAACCGCGGCCATGGGGAGATTCCGCTATCCGGGGTGCTATGACAACATAGGCCCAACGTGGCTAACAATTGATATATGTTAGATAGTCGCAGGTGGGCACCAGCAATACATCATCGACGCCGACGTTACTCGCCATCACTTGCCGTTGAAAATCACCATGGCTGACCACCAGTCCCACGGCGAGACTTTCATGTCGAGTACGTCGCAGTCACATCAAACACATTTCAGCTCTTCCACCCAATCGGGGTCAGGAACCCAGACTCCTCCCCACGGCGTCACGCGAACTACTTCTGGTCGTCCGACCTACTTCCCAGATGGTCATGCTCACGGCACCCACGGAGTCTTCTCATCACACTCCTACACGCATGAATCGTCGACCGCACATGAAACATCAACCGGCGCAGGCTTGTTTTCCTCCACCGATGGCACTGAATCCCAGCACAGGCAAGAGGAAGTCGTGCCGCTCGAGAAAGTCAACACATCGAGCTCCTCAGATTCTTCAGACACGCGGTTAGGATCTAATGGACAAGCCCCGAAAGTCAAGCGAACCGGCACTTCATCCTCTTACGAAGATGCAGCCCCAGCCACTCTTCAACGCCGAGTCACACGGGCTGAGATCGACGACGACGGCAGGCAGGAGTTGGCGCGCATCTTCACCTCACAGTCAAAAGTGACTCAGCAGATGAGCATTGCGCAGCCAAACGATCCCCGTGTGGACCCCTCCAACGAGGCTTTTGATCTCAGCAGGTTTTTGAACATGTTCCGGAATCAGCTGGAGGGCGAGGGCATCGAAATGAAGAAGGTCAATGTTGTGTACAAGAACCTGGACGTCTTTGGTTCGGGCAAGGCTCTGCAGCTTCAGAGCACTGTTTCAGACATGTTCATGGCACCCTTCCGAGCTAAGGAATTCTTTGGCAAGTCGGAACGCAAGCAGATTCTCCACAGCTTCGACGGTATCATACGAGCTGGCGAGCTGTGTGTTGTCCTTGGTCGTCCCGGCTCTGGTTGCTCCACACTTCTCAAGGCTCTCACTGGAGAGCTTCATGGTTTGGACACGGATGACTCGGTCATCCACTACAACGGCATTCCCCAGGAGCGTATGCGCAAGGAGTTCAAGGGAGAGACAGTGTACAACCAGGAAGTCGACAAGCACTTTCCTCATCTGACTGTAGGTCAGACACTGGAATTTGCCGCGGCTGTCAGAACACCATCGAACCGACCCGGCGGAGCGAACCGCGATGAGTTCGCCCAGTTCATGGCAAAGGTCGTCATGGCCGTACTTGGGCTGAGTCACACCTACAACACCAAGGTCGGAAACGATTTCGTTCGTGGTGTGTCAGGTGGAGAGAGGAAGCGAGTCTCCGTAGCTGAGATGCTACTCGCCGGCGCTCCATTTGCGGCATGGGATAACTCGACACGAGGATTGGATTCAGCCACTGCGTTGAAGTTCGTCAAGGCTCTGAGGGTCGGTTCCGACTTGGCTGGAGGTGCTGCTGCGGTGGCTATCTACCAGGCTAGTCAAAGCGTGTACGACTGCTTTGACAAAGCTGCTGTCCTCTACGAAGGTCGCCAGATCTACTTCGGACCCGCCAATGAGGCCAAGGACTTCTTTGAGCGTCAAGGATGGTAAGAATTCCAAAATGACGAGTCACCTGACAACAACTAACGCAGAACAGGTACTGCCCCCCTCGTCAAACCGCTGGAGACTTCCTCACAGCCGTTACCAACCCACAAGAAAGGCAAGCCAAAGAGGGCATGGAGAACAAGGTGCCTCGCACACCGGAAGACTTTGAGAAGTACTGGCGCGAGTCCCCTGAGTACCAGGCGCTTCTTGAGGAGATCAAGGACTTCGAAGCAGAGAACCCAGTCAACGAGCACGGCACTCTCGAGCAACTACGCCAACAGAAGAACTACATCCAGGCTAAACACGCTCGTCCCAAGTCACCTTACCTCATCAGCGTCCCGATGCAGATCAAGCTCAACACTCGACGAGCGTACCAACGCATCTGGGGCGATATCGCCTCTACAGCAACACAAGCTGGTCTCAATGTCGTCATCGCTCTCATCGTCGGTTCCATTTACTTCGGTCACTCTACAGGCTCCAGCTCGTTCCAAGGTCGCGGAGCTGTCATCTTCCTGGCCATTCTCTTCAACGCTCTTACTTCCATCGGTGAAATCGCAGGTCTATACGCCCAGCGGCCTATCGTCGAGAAGCACAACTCTTACGCCTTTTACCACCCGTCTACCGAAGCTATAGCTGGTATTGTTGCCGATATACCTGTCAAGTTCATTCAGGCAGTCGTCTTCAACATCATTCTGTACTTCCTGGCCCAACTGCGGTACACTGCAGGACAGTTCTTCTTGTTCTTCGTGGTTACTTACATGGCAACCTTCGTCATGGCAGCTATCTTCCGAACGACTGCTGCTGTTACCAAGACCGCATCGCAAGCCATGGCAGGCGCTGGTGTCTTGGTCCTCATTCTGGTCATCTACACTGGTTTCGTCATCCGCATCCCCGAAATGCCTGACTGGTTCGGCTGGATTCGCTGGATCAATCCAATCTTCTACGCATTCGAGATCTTGCTTGCGAACGAGTTCCACGGGGTCGACTTTCCCTGCGATGCCTTCATCCCGTCAGGACCTGGATACGCACAAACTGGCGACTCATTCATTTGCAACACACAGGGTGCAGTCGCCGGACAGACGTTCATCAACGGTGACAGCTACATCGAAGTCTCATACTCCTATTCTTGGAGCCATGTGTGGCGCAACTTTGGTATCCTCTGGGCTTTCCTGATCTTCTTCATGGTCACCTACTTCGTCGCTGTTGAGGTCAACTCTTCCACATCCAACACTGCCGAGCAACTCGTCTTCCGTCGTGGACATGTTCCCGCATACATGCAGCCTGGTGGCAAGGGTTCCGATGAGGAGTCTGGAGAGACGCAGACAGGAGAGCATGAAGGTGCTGGTGATGTTAGCGCTATTGAGGAGCAAAAGGGTGTCTTCACGTGGCGCGACGTTGTCTACGACATTGAGATTAAGGGCGAGCCGCGTCGTCTGCTCGACCATGTCTCTGGTTTTGTCAAGCCTGGTTCGATGACTGCACTTATGGGTGTCTCGGGAGCTGGCAAGACCACGCTCCTGGATGCTCTGGCTCAGCGGACCACAATGGGAGTCATCACTGGAGACATGTTTGTCAATGGCAAGCCTCTTGACCCTGCCTTCCAACGCTCAACCGGTTACGTGCAGCAACAGTAAGTTTTCCAGCTTATATCTGTCTTATCACAAGTACTAACCATCCCAGGGATCTTCATCTCGAGACTTCGACCGTCCGTGAAGCGCTACAATTCTCTGCCATGCTACGCCAACCAAAGAGTGTTAGCAAGAAGGAAAAGCACGAATACGTCGAAGAGGTCATCAAGATGTTGAACATGTCCGACTTCGCCGAAGCTGTTGTCGGTGTGCCTGGCGAGGGCTTGAACGTCGAACAGCGCAAGCTTCTGACAATTGGTGTTGAGCTTGCCGCGAAGCCCAAGCTGTTGCTCTTCCTTGATGAACCTACCTCCGGTCTTGATTCACAGGTCAGTACCATTGCATTATCTGACGTGAGATCATGATTGCTAACTTATGCGCAGAGTTCCTGGTCCATCATCGCCTTCCTCCGCAAGCTCAGCTCAGCTGGCCAAGCCATCCTCTGCACCATCCATCAGCCCAGCGCCATCCTCTTCCAAGAGTTCGACCGTCTCCTCTTCCTTGCCCGCGGTGGTAAGACCGTCTACTTCGGCGAGCTCGGCGAGAACTCTCAAACACTCCTCGACTACTTCCAGAACAATGGTGCACGCAAGTGCGGTGAAGACGAGAACCCAGCTGAATACATGCTGGAGATTGTCAACGCCGGCAAGAACGATGACGGTCAGGACTGGTACGAGGTGTGGAGAGAAAGCGAAGAAGCCAAGGGCGTCCAAAGGGATATCGACCAACTCCACGAGGCCAAGAAGAGCGAGGAACTCAACATTGCAGCAGAAACCGGTGGCGGCGAGTTCGCCATGCCATTGACCACGCAGATCGTCGAATGCACATACCGAGCCTTCCAGCAATACTGGCGCATGCCCGGCTACGTCATGGCTAAATTCGGTCTCTGTGCCATCGCGGGTCTCTTCATCGGTTTCTCTTTCTACAAGGCCAACACGAGTTTAGCAGGCATGCAGACGATCATCTTCTCGGTTTTCATGCTTACTACCATCTTCTCGTCGCTTGTGCAGCAGATCCAACCCCTCTTCGTCACCCAACGCTCTCTCTACGAGTCTCGCGAGAGGCCGTCCAAGGCATACAGCTGGATCGCCTTCATGATCGCCAACATCGTTGTGGAGATACCCTACGGCATCATCGCCGGTGTCTTCATGTTTGTGACATTCTACTACCCCGTGGTTGGTGTGAGCCAATCCAGCGAACGCCAGGGCTTGGTCCTGTTGTTCTGCATGCAACTCCTCATCTACACATCCACTTTCGCCGACATGACCATCGCAGCGCTACCCGACGCCGAGACAGCGTCTGGCCTCGTTTCTCTCCTTACTCTCATGAGCATCCTGTTCAACGGTGTCCTGCAGCCTCCGGACCAACTCCCCGGCTTCTGGCTCTTCATGTACCGCTGCAGTCCCTTCACATACTGGATCGGCGGCATGGTCTCCACCATGCTCTCCGGCCGCCAAGTCGTCTGCAGCGAACGCGAAGTCTCCGTTTTCGACCCCCCAGCCGGCCAAACATGCGGTGCCTACCTCGCCGACTACGCCGCTGTCGCCGGCGGCACTATCCAGAACCCAGACGCGACTGCTGCCTGCAACTACTGTTCCCTCACCAACGCAGACCAGTTCCTGGCTGGTTCTTCGATTTACTACGGCGAAAGATGGAGGAACTTCGGCATCATCTTTGCTTTCATCGGGTTCAACGCCGGTATTGCTATTCTCACTTACTACCTCTTCCGCGTTGCCAAGCTTAGCTCGTTTAAGAGCTTCTTCCATAAGAACAAGAAGGGCGCGAAGGCCAAGGGTACAGCGGATAAGGCACAGGAGGGTGCTGAGAAGGCGGCACAGCAGGGTGGACACCCTGGTGAGAGGAGTGGGGAGAAGGACGCTGGTACTGCTTAAGCGTTTTGAAAAGTAGTCGTTGATGTTTTTTGAGCGATTTGTTTCTTTCTCTTTCGTATGCATAGATTTTTTGGGTTATCTTGTTTAATCAGTAGTTAATATCACATATTGATCTTCAATCATTCAGCTCGTGGTTCCTCGGTGAAAACGAACAACATCAGTCTATCTGGAGCATTGCTCACACTGAAATTATCAATATCTTTAGTGGTGGTTGGCGATGCTAATAGCTTCGTAGCAGAGGTGATGCGCAAGACTAAATCAGGAAGTGGTCTATCTTGCTGCTCGAGGGCGCGATGGCTGCATGTAAGGAAGGCGTCTGGGTCACGGGAACACGCGTGCTCGCTCCTTCCCCAACAGCCAACTGCAGCCTGGCCTCCAATATGACGTGTTACGCGACGCGTACTCTCTTCTGATCTCATGTCGCGTTCTCTCGTCTTCACTTCATCACTCACCTTCCGCAGCAAAGATCAGCACCGCCAACTGTCATCCGCAGTAGTGCAACACCGCTACCTCAGTCAACTTATCCACCACTTACCATACCCAAAACCACTAAGTTCTCAAGATGGGTCATTGGGGATACGGTGAGTACCAAACATGCCACATATAAACAATCTCATCGACTAACACAACGCCAGGTCTCTTCCAGTCGGACCAGGACTTTGACAACATCAGCGATATGGGACACTTCGCTGGACTCAGCAAACTCGAGGATGAAGCTAAGGCTGCCCTCCGAGCCCAAGGCAAGACCGAGGAGGAAGCAGATCACGCTGTTTACTATAGCATCCATGCCGGTGGTTGCTCAGACAAAGAAGTGGTTCGCAAGTGGCTCGACTCCGGCAATCTTGTCAAGATGATCGCCGAGAGGGAGGCGAAGATCCTGGCCCCACTCACTGGATCATTGAATGAGCAGTGCGAGCACTTGTTCTCCGACCCCTGCTACATGTACGTCATGCTCGGTGCCTGTGCCATGACACACGGATGCCAACTCCCAGCTTCATTCCTCGTCATGCTCAAGAAGGTCTACACCGAAGGCGGCCTCAAGCCCGACGCTCAGCGCCAGATGCATAAGGCTCTATTCGGTCCTAACGGCTTCAAGAACGGAGTACCATACGACTTCGAGTCAAAGTCCCTCTTGGAGGTGGCCAACTCTGAGCCTGGAGAGCCCGACAATGGACTTGGTTACCGAGGCTTGAATGTTCCGGACCCGCTTCTCTTCAGTCCTGTCAGGACGAACTGTTCTACCTCGCTGGTCGTCAAGGAACTTCGCAGCCAGGCCCTCAAGCCTGATGAGTGCGGTGGTTGTGGTATCGATCACAGGCCGAAGGGCAAGAACCTGCTCACTTGCTCCAAGTGCATGAACCGCAAGTACTGCTCAGTCGCTTGCCAGAAGAAGCACTGGAAGCTTCACAAGAAGGTCTGCGAGCCTGCCGAGGTGTCGTTGTAAGCTGTGGGCTTCCCACGCCCGAGGGCTTCCGAGCGATATGCGTAGTGCAGGACTAGGACTGGGTATCGGCTATGATGGTGAAACGAAGAGAGCAAGATGTGGTAGTCGCACCGTGAAGCGGTCTGGTTCTCATCTGTTATGACATTAGTGTATGTAATATGAGACGAAATACAATCACGACTTACAAGATATATCCATGCAATCATGAGTATCGCTGTAGTGGACTAGAAGTACGACCGGGAGCAGATTGTTAAGGAATAGGCATTCATAACACATTGTTATTCGACAAGAAATACCATCTTCGGTGAACCCACCAGAATGAACCCATAACCCAAGGTCTACTCTCACCATCCCACATCAACCCCATGCTGCTCTAACAATACCCAGTACCCCGCCCATCTACACCCACCCTCCAACAGATCAAACATCTCGACCTTCCTTGCGAGACCTATCCACAGCATCCCTGTTCACTCCATCCTACCAAGCAAACATGCACTTATTATTCAATAGCCTCGCCCCCAACATATCATACTCATACCGACTAATCCAGCCATCATTGCCGTGCCCGCTCAGCCGGCCAAACACACTACCACCCTTCCACGCCACAACCTGCGGATCAAAGTCACGCGGCGGCGGCCCCACAAGAATCTCTTTACCGTAGCCCGGTCGCAACTCACGGAGTCGCATCTCGAGGAACTCGCGTAAACCTGGTGTTTTGGACGCGCCGCCAACGAGCATGATGCCGCCGAAGAAGTCGCGCAGTTTGCGGTCGTCGCCGCGGGCGCCTTGGGAGAGGGATTCTAGGATCGCGGCGTCGAGGGAGTGAATGGGGAGGATGGCGTCGCGGGCTTCGGCTAGCTTGGTCTTTTCGTGGATGGGGTCGCGGAAGAGGAGGGGGGCGCCGTCTGTGTCGCCCATGGGGGTGTCGCGGTCCGGGTTGGGCGTGTTGCTGCCTTCGGGGCCGGGTGAGCCGGCGACGGAGGAGCGGGGTGTGCCTTCGTTGTCGTTGAGGCGGCCGAGTAGGTTGAAGGGGTTTGGCTGGGGGCGTTGGGGTGTCGAGGCGGGTGCTGTGTTGTTTACGGTTTCTGACGCGCCATTGATGGTGGGGACCACGGGTTTACCGGCTGCGGCCTCGATGATGGCGATTTGTGCTTGCGAGATGGGGTCGTTGGGTGAGCCGTCGTAGAGGTCGACTGAGCGAGGCACGACCTTCCTCCTGTTCTCAAGTTTTCGCGCGTTCTCAAAAATGGAAGGCTTGAAGAAACCCTGAATTCGTTAGCAAGGCCCATCTTACATAATCATTGAGTTACTCACCATGACAGAAAGCATAGTCTCGTCGTACGTCTTAAAAGTGTACTTCCGCGTGTCTTGGCCCGAAGCGCGAAGATGGAAGTCCCATGTTTGTACCGTGACCGAGCCCTCATCCATAGAGCAGAACTTCTGCTTCAGCTCCTCGGCAAGCAGGAAGTCGTATCTCCGCTTAAGGTTCATGTCGGCATACGGGAAATGCCCGTAAAGCATCATCTTGATGAACGTTTCCGTTACATCAGCTCCGCCCATCTTGAGGTTGACACGGGACTCCTCGGCACAAAGGCCTTCGTCAACACAACAGATCGATGTCTTCTGAGCACCGATATCGACTACGCAGGCAACACCATAGCCAGCACCGAATGTAGCCGAAAGCGACTCTTGCTGCAGGCAGACCTTTCCAAGGCCAAGATCCCGCATGAGGATATCTAGTATCATTGTGACGTATTGTCGCTCGTAGAGATCTGGTATGATGAAGACGCACTTGTAGTTGACAAGGTCTTTTAACCTGGTAATACCAAGTTGATTCCTGAAAGCCTCTTCTAATATCTTAGAGAGATCATGGTAGATCTGATTACGGTCGCGATAGTCCTTCTCGTTGAACGTGCCGTTCCGTATCGGCCAGAACAGCTTGTATCGTGGGTTGGATCTCTCGGGTATTCGCAGCGCATCGTGCCCAGTAAAGAAGTCCGGTGCCTTCTTGGGGTCTGCAGGTAGTTCTGTCCACTCGATGCGGTTGATGTCATTGTGTTCGGAGATGATGTCTGGGGGTGATTTTCGGTTGAAGTTGATTACGAGGTCTTTCGAGTTGGGTAGCACTCGTCGCTTATTGGAACGCATCCTCGTCCTAAGTTCGGATGACATGGCCATGTACTGATCGGCAAACTGGTCACAAGTTAGCATCGTCCGTGCAATTAACACCCAAATACTCACATCCTCTCCGAACCACTTCTCAGGCAGCGCATCGGCGGGCACGGCACCTTCGACCTTCATCCGCTTGGGGCTAGGCTCTCCCTCATCCTCCTCGTCCTCGCTCTCCTTCCATTTGCGCGCGATGACCATAGGCACAGTTTTCGGGAGTGCGTCCGATCCAAGGCCTATCCTCAAGTTCTGGCTGCCAGGATGTATCACGATGAGCTTGGAGATGTCGGTTCTTGATGCGAAGGAAACCTCGGCATCTTCCATTGTCTCGTCCGCAACCTGTGGTGTCGCTCCTTCCGTTGCCGGTACACCCAACGCGCGTGCGCGATCCTTATCCCTGGCTTCCTGTACTATGCGCGCCCTCTCTTCATCCTTGGGGTATCGTACGGCGAGGAACTGTTCGTCGCGCTTGAGGAACTCGGTGTAGTAGTTCTTTTGGTTGATCATGCCGACCTGGGGCCATGTCGTAAGATCCATATTGTTGTCCGTTCGCTCCAGACCTGCAGGCTTGTTAGTTGCCATGTTTGCGCTGTAGTATCCCGATGCCGTACCCTCTTCCCTCAATTGGGCTCTGCCCGATTTCTTTCCGACCATCTTGCCGATTTGTTCAGATGCGTCTGGCAATTGAGAGGATCGTGAAGTCGCGGTAGCCTTCGCAGGGTTGAGTGAGCGTAGGCGGTGTCTGAATCTCGAAGGCGATCAATGCCGTCGTGTCGGCGAGATGGCTCTGGTGCGCGCACACCAGTATATGCTAAAAGAGTCGTGTTAGGGTCGTACAGTAGCGAAATTCGACCGTGGGTGTAGCTGGGGAGAGGTTCGTTGGCGATGCCGCTCGTCTGAGTGGTGGTGAAGGCTAGCCGGAGGTTGTTCGTCGCGGTCGCGCGTCTGGTGATTGGATCGCGAAGCTACCTAGGTACGCGCACGACCCCTGGCCCTTAGAACCATACATCACTTCCACCAGCTCGTCATCATTCCCACAACACTCGCGGCAATGGAGGCCATCGCTGAGAAGCACGCGGGCTTCATCTCCCGCCTGACGAAGCTCCTCGATCTCTTCGTCGCGATGCGTTACATATCTCCATCTGATATCATTCGCCCACCTCACTCTTCCGAAACCGTCGCAACTTCAATCTTCGAGAAGATTGGCCTGGATTCTGAGGTTATCAACCTGATTAGATCAATCCCTGCAATGCGCAGCGAAATCGTCGAAGGGTGGCAGTGGTTCGGCGTCGAATTGATCCCCCGCTCAAAAGCCGTAACGTACTTCGACAACCCCGGTAACCCAGATTTCGTCGAGGATTTGCGGTGGGGTGAAAGGTACCACGACGAGAATACCAAGCTGCTGCCACCTCACATGTTGAGGTTGACAAGTGGTGATACCTATAGCGGGCATTACGGTACTGACTTGATCTATGACACTCAGGACAGTATGTCAATTGCTTTCGAGCAGATAGGTTTAGCGTTCACAGACTACAGAAACAATAATTGAGTGGTCTTCAGTTGGACCTGACCGCAACGAATGGGAGAAAGCACCTAGACGACCAGCTGAGACTGTGCTTGATGAGATTATTGCAAAGTTTCAAAGCCTGGAATGGGTTCCGTACTATGACCCCTCAGAGGATGACGATCCTTCCCATCCACCCGCGCGCAAGGTCTTGGAAGATCCTATCATTATGCAGAACCTCTTCCCGGGAGGCATTCGTCTTCCTACTGAGACGACCACCGCGATTCAGTATATGAGACAGCACCATGGCTCAGATGGTGCTGATGGGTGGCGACGGAGAATCAATCGTTTCCGAGTCTGGCAAAAGATCTACCAAGATTGCGGATGGAGTTCGGGGGCATTTGACGGCGAAGCCTTCGAACTGAGGAGAGCAGAATTCATTGAAGCTTTAGAAGAGCTCGATGAATTGGAGTCGGAGGCACGCAATCGCCCTTGGCGTATTTCTGTCGGTGCACAGCAGATAGTTGGAGAAGATGCTCCCACATTGGAGCAAGTTACTTCACGGCTTGATCACTTCCTTGTGCAAGCTGCCGCAGAGCTCGCTGTTTGAAGTCGCTGCAGCCATCGCCGAGCTCATGCTGGTCCATGTCACTTGTAATTCAAGAAGCATTCATTTCCCTGTGCTATCTCTATATAATTCAGAGGGCTGTCACACCGCCACTTCATGCAAGAACATCGTGAACAGGTCTGCAGACTACACTCAGATAAAGTAAGTGAACTAGAAAGACCTTTTGGTAATGCAGGCTCCATGGTGATCAGTCTTTTCCTGACTTGATGTGCTGCCATGATTATGTACATATCGTGTCATTCGTGAAAATACTCGACACACTGCATCGTAACACCGTCGCACATGTGTTTGAGAGTTTCCGTACTGATAAACCATACCGCTTTCCAAAAGGAGTAGCTACGCCTCCTTAGATAAGCCAGGTAGCAGCCAGTACACCAAAGAATAAAGCAATGAACGAGGCCCTATTATCTCCAGCCTGACCCTTCTTAGTCTCAGTGGCCGCAGCAGTTGTGGTATCTGAGGCATGAGTAGTATCCGAGGCATGATCAGAGACATGGCGGGTAACCGTAGAGTAGACAGTCGTAGAGTAGACAGTCGTCGTGGACTGTTCATCCCTTGCGTTCAGCGTGGGGAAGATGCCGGGGGTGTAGCTGATAGCGGTACCGTTCGCAAAAGGTGGAGCATGATGACCACCTGACGGTAAACGCGCCATCGAAGACGTCGAAGCAGCCGAAGATGTGGAATCCAACGCAGACGAGGAAGCCGCCGAAGACGCGGAAGCTGACCAAGACGTGGAAGCCACCGAAGACGAGCTACTAACAGTATGGCTAGGAAACAATCCAACCGATCTGCTCTTGCTAGATGATGGCGGACCGACGGACGACACTATCGATGGTACCTCAGTGCGAGACGCCGACGACGATCCGCCCGAGACATGGGAGGATTTGACATCGGTAGGGAGGATCGCGGTGAAAGACCAAGTGATGGACGGGGGAGGAAGAGATGACGACGTAGAGCTAGGAGCGACCTTGGTGACTGATCTAGTGATGGTAACTTGGACTGTTGACTGAATGATCACGGTGGTAGTGGGCTCCTCTGCGGGAGGACCTCCAACGTCCGAAGTGGCTGAGACGGGTTTGTGGGGGATAGGCTGTACCGAAGGAGCAGCACCGACATCCGAGGTAGGAGCGGGAGCGGGAGCAACGCTAGAGGTCAGGCTCTGGTCTGCCGTCACAGTGGTTGTCCTGGTGGTAGTAACGGTGACCGTAGACGGACCTTCGGTCTTCTCGGGACACAGATAGGTGAGGGTGGTCTCATAGCCACGTAGCAGTACCGCGTCTGTGCAGAGCTTTGGAAGCTCGGCGCAGTGGTCGTCACGTGCAGCTACAGCATGAGCGAGAACGTGGTTGATAGCGGGACTCCATTGGGCAGACTCCGCTGCAGCGCCTGCTACATTTACGTTAGCAAGAATGATATCGTGGGTAAGTGCGCTGGTTGGAGACTATTTACCAGCAACTGCGACCATGGTGAGTGCGCGTACAGTGTTCATCTTAGAGGGTGAACGTTTGTATCGGAAGGAGCGACTGGGGTTGAAGTGGGTAGAGGGAAGTAGCGAGTGTGAGTAGCGAAAAGAATGTGGAATGGATCAGGTATTTCAACGAGCGTGGTGAGGTGAGTGGAAGGTGATAATTGCAAAAGAGGCAAATGTTTTGTTGTTATGAGAGCGATTGCGGTCAACGGCACTAGCTCCATTGGCCCTTGAGCAGCCAATCGCGTCGAGGGAGATTACTGGGACGAGTGAATGGGAGATTGGTGTGCGTTTGCACTCGCGCGCCTAGTTTACTCTCCACTGTTGCTGGTAACATCGCGTAAGTGACGTAATCTCCGTGCCGATGTCGCTTTAAAGGGAAGTTTACAGATAGACGCTGTTTGGAGTGGTGAATGAACGGATACGGTGAGAGAACAGAACGTTTTGGTTTAGGATCAGAGAGCTAAGTCCGAAGCCTGGCAACCACCCACTATCAGCACTAACAGAATACAGATCGTTCTGTGGCAACGAAGTATTTCCGTTTTGTAAAGAGGTCTCCTCAGTCCCCGTACAGCTCCATTAAGTGGTTCAGCATCTTCCGCTGTAATTCGAGAAGCTGCTCTTTCGATATCTTACCGCCCGCCGGTGTCGGCTGCGAGTCGGTGACTTCTGTGGGGTCGTAGTTAGAGCCAACTACCAGATGTGGCTTTACACCAAAGAAAGGAACACCCAAGACTTTGAGTGATGATGTTTGTGAGTCGACCATAGCTTTGGAAGCTCGGTATACCTTGGCGTCATATTGGTCCAGTTCCTCTTTCTCACGCTCTGGTGTCTGTGCCGTGTCAGTGATCATCCATCAGCATAAGTGTACTTGAACGTACACGAAGCGCGGGTGTATTTTCCAAGAGACCTGGTAAAGATCTGCGAACGTTAGTCACATGTCATGACGAACGGCTTATGACGTACAGCGCAGCTCGATGAGTCCGTTCGTTCTCTCGCTTGAACTTGTGTTCATCAATCAGATTCTTGCGTCCAGCCTCCCAAGATTTGACATTCGACTCTTGATCTTTCATCAACTGACCATTTCGTAAGCATCATGCGTGGGTTCATAAGAGACGTGTGCCATACCTTGCGAACTGCAGGAGCAAAGTCTGGGTTCTGGGAAGCTATCTTGCTCACACAGCGGAGACCTTGTTTCCATTCCGTGATGGTAGAAGGATCGATGAACGGAGAAGAAACCCTGTCTTGTGGTTTGGGAGGTGGCTGTCGATGTTGAGGAGGCGCGCGACCAACCAGACGAGGGTCAGCTAATTGTTGATACGGAGCACTTTGCTGGTTTGGATATGCCTGTTGGGGCTCTGGGTACCCCTGGTGACTTTGGTAGGGCTCATATGGTTGCTGTCGATCTTGAACTGGCTGAGCTTCCGGTTTGGGCAGGTTCGCAAGCGTAGCCAAAATTTGAGCCAGATCCAGGTTCTGATTAACGTTTTCCGCCATGTCTGCGACAACAGCGTGACTGCACTATTTGATGGTGTTAAGGAAACTCTCCAATGCTAAGATGTCGGAAGAGTGGTGTGAAATGAAGGCGGGCACGTTGGATCATGGCGTGTGTTTGCGCTCAGATCAAGGACATTGCAAGGAAATAAGCAATCTTTGGCCTGCACTGCTCATACTGAATTGTGCTGCCTTCTCGAATCAACGTATCAGCGAGCTCCCGATCCGCACACGAAGAAGATCTAATAAGTAGTTCAGCGGTATGGTTGACGATGTACGTTAGCGGGCAGATGGGCGGAAATCTCCGCATCGAACCCTAGTCCATCTCGACTTTTGGAAATCATCGAATCATTCGTTCTCCCGCTCCGCCATCTTCACGACATCTTCCTCCCACAACACTTGCCCCCGAGTGCTCTTCCCACTTCCGCCCATTATGTCGAAATCACCGAAGGAGTCGACGCGATTTACAGCCACCGGAGTATGGGCGCACACAAGACCAGGCGGGCGGGCAACGACGCTGCAATTCGCGGATCCCGCACCGAAAAACGAAACGCCACAGCAGAAGGTCAAGCGGTTACGAGAAGCAGCGAACAGGGCAAAGATGGCGCAGGTGACGAGGTGGGATTACATGTACTTGTACGGCAGAATGGCGGCGGATGCGGCGCATAGATTTACCGTCTACGGCTTGATATTTGCAACGGGTATGTGGGCACCAAGTAGCCAATGGCTGAACTGGTCATTGGGTAGGGATGATGCTAACTGTCTGAACAGGTTGCGTCGGTGTCCTCGCAGTCTTCTCGATAGGCGACATGATCGTCTACAACCGCCGGAAACGAGCAATCTACTTCGCCGAGGAGGAACGAGTCCAAGCCAGGATCCTCGAAGCCGCCCGCAATGCTGTCTCAGCAGGAACAGCCTCACCCGCACAAGCCGCTCTCGTCACAGGTATCGCCGAGGAGCAAGAAGCAATGGAGAGGAAGAAGGCAGAGCGAAAGGCGCCCTCCAAGCTGCTGTGGTGGCTGCACGGCGACTGGAAGGAGGACCAAGCAATCGCAGAGCAGAGAAAGCTGGCGGTGGAGGAGATTAAGCGGCAAGAATCCCAAGGCAACTCAAACCTTGGTATCGCTGCTGCGGTACAAGAGGCCAGGGCGAACGACACAACATCCACATTCACATCATCGACACCAGTAGTCGGAGGCCCGCTCGACAATACAGCAGAGAAGGCAGTGCATAAGGTGGAGGAGACGGGCAAGGGATGGTTTGGGTTCATGAAGGGTGGATCGAAGAAAGAGTAGAGGAAGGACAGCGGAGAGTGGAGCCAGACGCTTCAGTGTACTATATACGACCTCAGCCTGTACATTGCTGTCACATTAGATGTATGCATGATGGAGTTCTTCAGCAGTTATGAAGGAGTCAACGATCATCTTGGGTATCTTCGTTCCGTGCCCATATTGTACATTCAATGCATTTTCAAACGATTCCCAGTCTTGCAACTCGCTAGTTCCCTTGACCAGCCACTGGTATATAGCTTCGACGTTCCCGTGCACGCTGTTTCCAGTCAGTTCCCGATCAAGTCGGCCTCGCTCATCTACACATACCTCTCTCCATCCTTCAACATAAGGTCGCAATGCCGCCCACCCCAAGAGCCCCACCGTCGCTCCAATGAAGACAAACACAACTGCCTGGTCTTTGGCAGAATCTCTCTGGAAGCATGTTGTAAGCACGTTCTCCTCTTTCTCTCCTGCGCAGACGCCATAACCTAGGCAGAATTGGCGGGTGCAATCGTTACATGTCTTCTTGGAGGCGCGGGGTTTCAACTCGAGGGCGGCGGGCTTCTTCGTGCTGGGCGCGTCGAGGGCTATGATAGTGCTATTGCCTTTGCAGGTGCATTTGCAGAATGACGTACGCGCTATGAGATGTTAGTAAGTGCCTGGTACGAGGTAAAGGGTGACGTACAGGCTGCAAGGGAGACGGAGAGGGAGGATAGAAAGGTAAGGAGAAGGAAGAGCAGGTAGGGCGGTTTCCGCATCGTGGTGGTGACAAGGATAGATATTGTGTTGAGTCTGTACAAGCGACGGATCAAGTGCAGTGCCAACAAGATGTCAAGCTGATGTGGTTCTAGACGTCTATCGCGCGATGAACATGATAATGGTCAGAGTGGAGCTCCAAACCTCCGCCCGCATACACGCTATGACCAGACAGCTGGGTCTCTTGTCGCGCTAAGCATTTTCCTTTCCCCTCCGGCCCCGACACCTCTACACGACGCTTACAGGCGTCGCTCAAGCTTGTAGCCCGTATTATTTGCTCTAGACGCCCTGGAGTCTTTGCGCACAGTCATCTCCACCTGTCGCACGCGCGCGAACCTGCGACCCAATGCCAGCAGCACAAGCGCCTAACTCTTCCGAAGCGCAACCCGAAAGCAAGGTCGTCCGCCTGCACATTACGCCTTTCCGCCCCGACCTGCTCAAGGTCTACGTCGCGCCTTCTGTCCTTCCCTCTGCGCAAAATATCTCGTACCATACCGTCGCGACCTTCCCCGAAAAAGGTTTCGGCTACGTAGAGCTACCCGAACCCGAAGCTCAAAAGATCAAGAAGAAGCTCAACGGCACAATCCTGAGAGGCGCAAAAGTGCGGATAGAGATGGCGAAACCTGAGAAGCGCAAAGCTCTGGCAGAGGCTGACGCGGCGAAGGAGGTGGCGGATACCGAACGCCCCTCGAAGCGCGCGAAGAAGGAGAAAAAAGAAAAGAAGGAGAAGAAAGAGAAGAAGAAGAGAGAACAGGGCGTGCTGGAAGGTGTAGAGCTACCAGACGACAGGAAAGTCAAGCGCGGTTGGACTGAGCCGTCGAAGAAGGACAGGAAGGATAAGAAGGACAAGAAAGACAAAAAGGAAAAGCGTGACAAGGACGAGAAGAAGGAGCGGAAACCTTCGAAGTACACCAAAGACGCCGAGCTGCTCTTCAAGGCGAAGCTCACACCAGTGGCTGCGACCGAAGTTGCGCACAAGGACGAGAAGAAGGTGAAGAAGGAGAAAAAGGAAAAGAACAAGTCCAAGATAAATGAAGTAGTGGTTCACGAGTTCGAGAAGAACATCAAGACTCCCAGCTTCCTGAAGCAGCCACAGGTCGCCCTATCAACAAAGCCTGCAGTTGACTATGTCAATGGTCAGGGCTGGGTCGACGAGGACGGTGTCGTTGTTGAGCCTGAGACTGGCAAGGCCAAGGCTAGGCGAGCTCTGGAGCTGGTAGATGCGCCCTCGGAGGCTCAAAGAGCTTGGATCGACGGAACAGCAAAGTCTACGACCACGAAGGACCAGAAGAAGAGGAAAGCTACTCCTCCACCATCATCGTCTGAAGATGAGGACGAATCATCAGTAGTTTCGTCTTCTTCTGAAGATGAGGACTCTTCCGACTCCGAGTCAGAGTCAGAATCAGAGGCCGAATCATCTGCATCATCTCCCGCTCGACCTGTCGAAAGTAGAAAAACGCCCGAAGTCCAACCAACTGCATCGTCCGAGAAAGAGGTCCACCCCCTCGAAGCGCTGTTCAAACGCGCAAAGCCCGCAGATGGCACAACCTCGACCCCCACCAAGAAGCTCACTCCAATCGACACCTCTTTCAGCTTCTTCGACAACAACGAAGACACAATGGAAGTCGACGGCGAGCGCGGCCAGCCCATCGACGAAGCCCCCACTACCCCCTTCACTCAACGAGACATTGAATGGCGCGGCCTCCGCAGTGCGGCACCCACCCCCGACACTGCCGGCCTCGGCCGCCGCTTCTCCTTCGACTGGCGCAAGAACAGCCAAGAAGCTGATGATGACGAGGATATGGGCGACGTTGACTCCCTCGCCGAACAACGTCTATCTCAAAATACTCGCGCAAATGCCAAAGCCAAGCTAGCTGAGGTCGCGGAAGAAGACGAAGAGGACGAGGAAGAGAATGCAGCGGCCGCTGGTGGTAAGGAGGAGAAGCCAGAGAGCGAGTTTAAGAAGTGGTTCTGGGAGAATCGGGGTGATTTGAATCGTGCGTGGAAGAAGAGGAGACGGGATGCGTTGAAGGCGAAGCGGCATAGTGAGAATAGGAAGATGACTGGTAGTAGGAGGGTTTGAGGAGAGGTTTAGGGGATTGTGATGGCATTGTTACTACGTTTGCGCGCTTTTAGATGTTCATGAATTGGGCTAGCTACGAGAAGGAAAGACAGGAAGGGGAGTTATCCTTTCCATTCGGAAAATCGAGACATGAAAAACGTCTCTCAATCAAGACCTCCACGTTATCTTACAACATCCCCCTCAAAGATCCAGTTCCCATTTATATGCCTCAACACCAACTCCTCCCTCCCACAACTCCACCCAACCGAAACCTAAACATCAACCCCCTTAAACATAACACACCTCCCACCCTCCCTCTCCCCACCAACCCAACTACTCTTCCTCCCCTCCCCTCCACACGCCTCCTCCGCCCTCGTCAGCAGCGTCCCCTCACCCAGCACATCTCTCGCCTCAGACTCATGCCCTTGGCTCGAAGTCGTGGACGAATCACTCGGTATGCTGCAAAAGGGGGCGCCTATCATGCCTTTCTCCGTCGCGGTGATGATATCGGTGGGTATATGTGGGAGAGGCGGTCGTTGTGGTGCGAAGGATATGGTTGAGGGGTTGGAAGATAGGGGTGGTGGTGGGGAGGCGGAAGTGGAAGCGCGATGGTGAGAGTGGGTTGAGGGATTATGCTCCGTCGTTGTTGTCATTGTTGTAGGTGTTGTTTCTACTGGTTTCGATGGGAAAGCTAAGCATCTTGTTAGTATGTCGACACACAATTCTCCAAGTCTGGATATTACATCGGCCGGGATATGTTATCCATGTACATACCATCGCTTCCGGAATCGACGTGTTGGCTACTCCTCCACCGCTTCTCGAAGCTACCAGTCAATTTGTCGCGTAGGTTGAATAGCCAATTCATATTGTAGGATGGCTCGGAAAGTAGGTGTTCTGTTCCTGATTTCTTAACAAACATGATCAGTTTAGATAGTTGAATAACGAATTCCAGTTCTTACTTGTGTAATAGTAACAGCAGCCTCGCGCAATAATATATGCAATCTCTCAAAATCTGTAAACTCAATAAATCAACCACGAAACGCGACGAAAGTTGATGGTAGCTCCACACTCTCAGTATATATCCCGACCCCGGAATACCCCGACCGAAGCCAGTCCCGCCCCCATCAAAGGTTGAAAGCTGTTCTGTTCCACCGTCAAACAGATATGACGTACATACGGCACGGCGGGGCGTTAACTTGCTCTTGCTTGATCGCTTTGCTTATCTGCTTACCTTCCACGCCCCCATGCCCATGCCCTCGCCCGTGCCGTGGCGCCTCGTCCCTTCCACCACATCACATCACGTCACGACCCTCCAAAAACGAGGCATTAAACACATCCATCCAACCTCTCGCAAGATCACGCCACAAATGTGTCCTCCACTTATGTCACCCTTTCCCCTCTTTGCATCTGGCATCCCGCGTCGCTGATCTGCCGTCAGAAGGGGACAACTAGATCGACGCTGGGATGCTGTTCCGTTAGGTGCATATCGTGAGGATCAGCGGCGTTAGTTGTCTAGCCCTGGAGAGATCTACGGATATCCCGTCATGCCGTGTTGGGCGGGAAAGAAGCAAAGTTTGTGATAAGGGGATGGAATGGTAATGGGCGGCGTAAAAGAGAATCGAGGTTGTTATCTTTGCGATGGCATCAAAAGTAGTCTTTTGTTTAGCTTGATTAATTGATTGTTCTGATGAGAATGGTAGAATTAGAATAAAATGTCCGCCCGTATGGATGCCGATTGGCATAGCATACCATGCCTGATCGCTCAAACTCCATGTCGACAAGTAAAGATATGGCTGGAACTCTCCTGTTCCATCCCATCGCACATGCAACGTGAGCCTAGCCTGCGCTATTAACAATTCTTCTCACCAATACCCTACAAACACATGTCCTTCACCCTATTCACAGCTTTATTAGGGGACCCCTGCCGTCTCATTAGCAGGTGCTTGCACAGTATCAGAAGCATTGCCAACCCCGCTGCTCTGCGACTGCGGTGCACCCCTCCGACCCCTCTGACCGTCAGCGGCGTCATTGCCGCCCCTGATCATGCGCTCGAGATCACGAATGCGCTGTTTCAAGGCCTCGTTTTCCTTTTTGACCTCCTCCAGCTCCGCCTTGTGTTGTGCCACCTCTTCGTAGCGTGGGGTGCTGACGACGCTCGAGCTGCGGTGGTCGCGCTGGGCAGGATCGCCCGCTGCAGGCTGGGAGG